CCACTTAGCAACCACAAAACTATAATGCTAACAATGAGAAATTCTAATAATTAGCTTTAGAAAATGCAGACCCAGACAACACCAGATATATAAGCTAGTTATTAATAAATGATTGTCTTGGGTGAGTCATGCTCACTGCCTCAGAGAAAAAGTGCAGACAAACTTATCTTCTGTCAGCATATTGGCTGACCCTGAACAATAAATCCATTTCAATGTTATTGTTTTTTATGTGTATTTCAGAAGAAGGGATGACCAGCAAGGGGAAATTCATCCTTCTGCTGGCCGGCCCTTTTGTTACCTGCCTCCCTGAGGCAGGCAGTGAAAAGCCTAATGGACAAGGAGAACTCTCCCTTTCCCCATCTGCCTTTTGCAGGTCGCAGGGAAGTCCATTGTGAGTAGCATTTGGCCCATGAGCTGGAGGTTGTGCAGGCCTTCTCTATTCCATTCTCTGTCCACTATTCACCATGATAAAACTGTATATTCTTGTTCTATTCCTATATCGCTATGTTGATCTTATAGGGTTGGCAGATACAGTCGGAATTTGACTAGATTAATACTCCTTTCACTAGAAAATGGACCCACATATATCCCCACTGAATAAAAAATGCTGGAATGTACACTGTAAGCAAAATTGATGTTCCTTCTAATAAATTATCCTTTTTTTTAAAGAAGTGATGAATTCTTGTGAGTTTATCTGAGTAGGTGGGTTTTCCACAGCAACATCAGATTGCATTTCAAGAAATCAACTGTCACCTTTAGTATAGGCACACACTTTTTTCATTAGCAACAAGGTGAGTTAACTGTCCAAGGTTTAAAGATAGGCCATTGTCCTACATGTGAGGACAATATGTACATTAACATTTCCCTCCCCATTCCCAAACCCTGAGTTAGTCTTTAAAAAGTGCAGACGTGGTGAGTGAAATGACACAAAAACTGCTAAAAATAAATTAACCCCTTAAAACACAAATATTTACTAGATTGGGGGGGGGGGGAGCTACAAATCTATCACAAGATTGCTCAGTGTTAAGATGGGTAATACAGAAGAAACTTCTCTAGAACTTTCTCCACAATGTGCTACTTTTGGATGGAGCCTTATTAGTTCACAAATTCGCATTTTAGAATAACTAAGGCCTGGTTTCTTGTAAGTTGGGAGTTTTAGAATACATAATATAATAATAGGGAAGAATGAGGGAGAAGTGTGAAGCAGAATATTGGAGTAGGCTGGAGGGAGTAAATGTGATGGCTGAAAAGGAAGAGCAGGAGATGACGAGACTGAGAATTACAACTGGAAACCGGCTCTGGGTAGAAAAGCAGTGTAAACTAGGCAGATATTTAGATTAGGAGTATTTACTCGAATCTAATGCTCACCTTTTTTTCCTAAATTACCTTCCCCAAATTAGGGTGCACATTAGATTTGCTTAATGTGGTGATCTTAGTGTTGAGCACTGTGGAAGTCACCTGTGTGAAGCAATGGTAATAATAAACAAATAATAAAACTTTATTTATATCCCGCCACCATCTCCCCAAGGGACTCGGAGCGGCTTACATGAGGCCAAGCCCAACAACACATCAATAAAAATAACAACAATAAGCAAAATAAACAATACAATTAGTATAACTCAATAAATATATTAGAATATTCCCCAGACTACTTTGTAATTTATGAGGGCTTCTCAACAGATCAATGAAAATCAAGCTGATCTCCTCACAAGAGAGAATTTGGAAGTCATGATAATCAAATAAAGTTAAACAAGTGCTCCATCTGCTGACAAGCAACAAAACAAATGTAATTCTAATGTAATTTTACTCTTATGCAGCTTGATATCTGAAGTGAACAATATTTAGGTTCTAAAAAGGTAAATCTATCTATATTATATTATATTAATTCAAATGGCACTAGGAGCATTACAAAGGAAGGGAGATCCACTACTGTAATAAAGGCAATGAATCAGCTTCATGTAAAAATCCAGTTCTGCCCACACTTACACAATGCTACTGAAGATATTATTGCTATTAGCTTTAACTTTCCCCCAAAATTAAGGCATCAGAACCTCTGACTGACTTTCTGTCGGCTGACCAGATCTCTCTGATATGCTGTAACAACAGTACAGCAGATGCTATTGCAGCTTTACAAGTCTGCAAAACAACTTCTATCTCAGTCCTGTATTCCTCTTCTTGCAAAGAAGCCCCTGTTTTAGTTTCGACTCCTGCTTGTTTCACTCATTCCTGCCTGTCTCTACCCTTTCGGAATCTAAATCCTGAAAATTGCTTTTGCCGTTAAGTTTGCTCACTTACCAGTTTTAACAGCAAAAGAAATTTTCACAATTAAGCCATGTACACCAACCTTAATTCCTAGGTATGCTGGATCTAGCCACGATCACACATGTGTTAGTTATATCCTGTTTGGGTTATTGTAATGCAGTCTCTATGGGGCTATCTTTTGGCAAGCATTCAGAAACTTCATCTGGACAAAGAGCTGCCTGTAGCTCCCTCACTGTAACAGCTCCACTGGCTGTTGGTGTGCTCCTCAGCTCAATTCAAAGTCCTGTTGATGGTATTTAAAGATATACAGTAGAGTTTCTCAAACTGTGCTCCTCCAGATGTTTTGGACTTCAGCTTCCACAATTCCGAACAGCTGGTAAACTGGCTGAGGTTTCTGGGAGCTGAAGTCCAAAACAACTGGAGGAGCAGATTTTGAGAAACAGTGATCTACGATATACGGTTCAGGTCCAGGTTTCCCAAAGGACTCTATTCTCCTATATCAGCCTACTCTTGCTTTAAGATCCTTTGTAGGCCTTTCTTTATCCCACCACCCTCACAGGTACATCTAGTGGAAACAAGGGATTGTTTTTGGGGGTCTCAAATTCCCTTCCCAGAGAAGTTAGACTTGCTCTTTTTCTGCATGCAGACTGAGACTTCCTTTTAATTCCAGCAGACACTCAAAGACTGTTTGCTAGAGAGAACTGACTCTTGCAGAACTGTGGTTGCACTGTCTGTGTTTTGAATATTTTAATAGCTATGTTTTTAATTAATTAATTTATTTATTTTGTTGTGTCAGGAGCATCCTGTAGTGAGAGAATTGGCCGTCTGCAAGGACGTTGCTCAGGGGACGCCTGGATGATTTTGATGTTTTATCATCCTTGTGGGAGGCTTCTCTCATGACCCCACATGAGGAGCTAGAGCTGATAGAGGGAGCTCATCCGCCTCTCCCCGGATTCGAACCTGCAACCTGTCGGTCTTCAGTCCTGCCGGCACAGGGCTTTAACCCACTGCGCCACCGGGGGCTCCTATGTTTTTAATTGATTTTGGTTTTATGCAGAGTTTAATAATATTTGTAATGTTTACATTTGGCATATTTTAGTTATCTTTCTTTTAATTGTCATAAGTCACTTTGGATCTCGGGAATAGGCAAGATATAAATAAACATAACAACAACAGCACATTTTCAGCAACAGTGGGATTAGCACAAAATGAAGTTTAATATTGTGTTCAACTACTTAAGTTATTCATAACTATCAGCAAAGAAAAAAAGGTCCAAAGAAAGGTTTTAGAGATTTGCTGGCAGACAGGAGTAGGGATACTTTGGTATCACAAAGGACTGAATTCAATCAATTTTCAACTGTTCTAAATATATCATTCTACATTTATAGGTACAAGATTTGCTATAGTGATCGATGCTCCCTTGTTTCTGTATGACTGCAACATATTTGCCTTTCTGTAAAATATTTCTAGATCATCTTTAGGGACACAAATCTTATCTTTATAAAAATATATCTATATATATAATAAAAGTTAATGTTTCTATGTGTGTATGTGGCAGCTTTCTGATTGGCTGCCACTATCACAGGCCACTGCGAGCAGCACGAGTGACGGACCTGGACCGAACTTGGCACACATAACCCCCATGATCCCCTTTATGTCCTTGTGAGATTTGGGGGAGGACAGACAAAGGATGATGGGATTTGTAGTTCTGCAAACCCTTCAGTTACCACAGACCACTGTGGCCCCCAACAATGACCGATAGAGCCCCCATGACCAATCTACATCCTACTGCAGTTTGGAGGAGGGTGGGCCATGGATGATGGGACTTGAAGTACCTCCACTCACTTCCCGAGACTGCTGCGACCCTCATCCAATGAGTAATCACGAACAAACATGACACACAGAGCCCCCATGATCCACTCTACATCCTGGTGCAGTTGGAGGAGGATGGACCACGGATGATGGGACTTACAGTACCTTCACTCACTTCCCAAGACTGCTGCAACACTCATCCAATGACTGATCAAGACCAAACTTGGCACACAATGCCTTTCTCAAATAACCCAGGCACCGCCGGGTCCCCAAGCTAGTATATACTAAAATCCTCCCAAAGACTCAAATAGGAAAAAAGTAGTAATACCAACAAACAATATTATTTGCTATATCATCAGCATTCACTATGCATGCATCCACAGCATCAGGGAATATGGCTTCTTTCTAAACTCAGTATCCGCTAATAATACTGAGTATTATACTTATTGAGACTCTTACCAAGGAACGTAAAGAAATGTAAGCACATAAAAAGGCTATGTAGTAGGACTTAAGCACTCTCAAAAATTATTCATTTGGTTACAAAAACAGTAAGAATGAATGTATCTTCCTTTTCTGGAACGGACTAAACAAATACACCTGCATTACAAAATGAAATGCACTCAACAGAATGTACTTACCCTGCGAAATGACACCACATAGAAAGTATCTCCTCTTCTGTGAATTGCATCCAAGAAATCCTGGGAATTTCGTAGTGGAGTGTAATAAACCTGTAATTCACTCCCAGCATTCCTGATGAAAAACATGAGACAGCATTGTTGGAAATAAGAACCACTAGCATTCAGAAAACACTAGATTAAATGAACTGCATATGGCATTTGCCTGCTCATTACTTCTCACACACACCCCTCAATTTTACTATCTGGATAGGGTACTTTATTGTAGCTCTGATTTCACAGTGCAAAGACAGATTCTACTAGCACAACATTTCTACTTTTGTCTCTCTAAAATTGAAAGGGGGGATGGGACAGACGGACTGTGATCTCTTACAGCTGTAGTAAACAACTTAGAAATGTGTTTAGTGTATCCTTCAAAAGAAAAATTCGTAAAATTAATTTTAAAAGGAGTTTTAAAAAATTATTTATCATATCAGGAGTTGTAATGTATTAAAAAAAACGCAAAGTTTAGAAACTTGGCATTATATTAAATGTCATTTGACCAGTAGCTGGCCACTTGGAGTCCTTCTGGTGTTGCTATAAGAAGGTCCTCCATTGTGCATGTGGCAGGGCTCGGACTGCATTGCAGCAGGTGGTCTGTGGTTTGCTCTTCTCCACATTCACATGTTGTGGGCACCACTTTGTGGACCCATTTCTTAAGGTTAGCTCTGCATCTCATGGTGCCAGAACGCAGTCTATTCAGTGCCTTCCAAGTCGCCCAGTCTTTTGTGCAGAGTTTCTCATTAAAAGGAGTTAAAATTTTGTAACTTGTGACAGTCCATCTAGTAGTTAAATTGAACCTTTTTAATCAGAGGCAGTGTACCTCAGATGCCAGAGTTAGGGAGAGGGATCTGTCTCCCCTATGCTTTGCTAGGCAACCATAAGTAAGAGTAGATGCTTAACTAGATAAATCCTATGACTGATTCTTGGAATGCAATTAGAAAAATTTAGCCTTTTCCAGTGAAACAACTAAAACAGATACTATTTCAGGTTTCAAAGTTGTTGACAGATTTCAGTTCAACAGGACTGAACAGTAATTTTACCAAAGCAAGAGAAATCAATATTCTAGAGAAACCGCTGGACCAATATCTAATACAAAACTATTCTGCAGGATATGGAGTTGATTGAAGATACAATTTTAACTTACTGAGCACTGCCGCTTGTGTAGGGGAGGGCCATCAGCTCAGAATTTCGATTTTTTCCTGATGGGTTCTAGAGAAAAAAAATGTAAACATACAAAGGAAAATCAACTACTAAATTTAACATAATCTTACTGAGATGTACGCTTGCACGTACATACCTACTGAATTGACCTGTGCTGTTAACCTCAGTGGCAGTCATCAGCAGTGGCAGATAATCCCAATACGTTTTCTGGTCCCTTATCCCAATACTATCTTAAACAGGATGAAAGGGAAATCAGAGATCTGAGAGTTCTCGTGAGAAGTTTCCATTCTGTTCCCCAATCTATCTTTTGGTTCTAAAGATCTGGCACCCATACTACTGTTCTTCTACATATCTCTGTAGTTGGTTCTTCTACATATCTCTGCCTCCCCTTGGCCCCTATTCCACCTGTTTACAATCCATTACTACCCCAGTGTTGTAGTAGAGCCTGTGAGTAACGTTACAAACAGTAGTATGGATGCCAGAGGGGGGAAAAGGGTTCATCGGGAGCAGGAATCTGATGATGAGCAGCAGAGAAGGAGGATCCGGGACATATTTACAGCACCAACAGATGAGGAGTCGTTTCAGGGATTATTTGGGGATGATGGGTCAATGAGTGAAGGAGAAGAAGGAGACACCATGGATTGGACTAAGATAAGAGAAGTGCAAACTATTTGTGAGGAGCCAACAACTAGTGATACCTTTATGGGGTTCTCTGGGGGTGAAGACTGGCAATCAGGGGATCCAGTGGAGTCTTGGGGGGACCCAAGTTTTGACAGGAGATGGAGGACTTGGAGGGAAAGACAAGGGAATTCACGTGAAGAGCTGGGAGCAGCTGGGGGGATAATGATGGGGCGGTGGTCAGTTAATCTTCTGATGATTATTTGTAAATAAAAGTGGGTTCAGGGGTGATGGGTCCTTGCAGAAGGCAAGGTGTTGGTGAGCATTCATGTGTTGGGTGCTGTGTATTGGAAAAGATTCTTGTAGACTTGTTGCTGCCTGTTTCGTGTTCAGCATTGGATCTGCAGTTTGGATCTCCTGATCGTTTGCATGTTATTGACCCGGATTGTCTTCTCGTAAATGTGGACTTCTCCCTTCCTGGACCTGGACCGGTTTGGCTAAAGACGCTGCTTCTGTGGACACTGGAGCAGCACTGTTTCGGATTTCTCCTGCCTCAACCCTGGACTTCTCTTCCTGCGGCCCCTCCTTTTTGTTAACCATTTGTGTACTGTGCCTTTTGGTTTTGCCTCAGAGCACTTTGTTTGATTCGTTCCTTTTGCATCCAATTAATCTGGATTATATTTCTGTTTACCTTTTGGACCAGGTCTGGTTTGTTTCTTGAGTTTTGACCAGTGGCACTGCATTTAAGTACCTCTGCATCCTTTTTCTTTAGTTTTAATAAACTCTGTTTTGAAGCCACTTTTGAGTCTGGCCCTTTAAGGTGTCTGTGATTTCAACACCCAGCCCCTGCCTTGCACAAAGTGAGAGCTAGTAACATACATTTACCTGGACAGTTTGAGCTTTTTGCTCAAGATTTGTTGACATTTTCCTTGATCTTGACCTTTCTGCTTCATGTCTATGGACCCAGCCTCGCAGCTCATGACTCAACCTGGAATTGCAATACTAGAATTACTTCTGTGTTGGAAAGTCAGAGGCATGAGGGGGAAAAAAATCAAAGACAACAACTACAAGAGATCTTGATCAAATGCTGATATTGATATTAGATCTATAGCCTCATAAAGAGTTCCCAAGTATATCTACCTGAAACTAAAATTCTGAAACCACTTAAGGTATCTATCAATATATGACTAAATATATCACAAGAAATAATACATGATAATGCGATATTTCAACTCTTATTAATTAATTGCATCGTAATTCATTATTATATTCTAAGTATTTTGACAAATGGTTTCAGCAACAAATATACCATTTATATGTGTGTAAGTTGACTTCATGTATAAGTCGAGGGCAGGTTTGGGGACCAGAATTATGGATTTTGATAGGTCCATGGAAAAGACAAGAGTAAAACTTTGAGGCACAGCACAAGGCTCCATTCACAAAGGCAAAGGTGCTAGCTGTTCATGGGCACCATTTCCCTGTCCAGGCATCAAAAAAGATGGCTAGACAGAGTAGAGGAAGTCAGTGCTTCTTTTGGATTCTCCTGGGACTCGGTAAAAAACTCAAGGTAAAACATTAATCCATCTGTAAAGTAGTTCTCCCATCCCCTCTTATTGGCATGGTGGAGAGAACAGAGTGCCCTATTTCCACCACCCCACCCCCCAGCTTCTTCTCTCTCTATTCTGCTTGCTATGACAAGATGGCACCAAGGAGTCACCACTGCAACAGGGAAAATAGGAGTTAGGAGTTTGTTTTTGGAGCTTCTTATGACCTCATCTAATCTCCCCACCTCAGTGGGTGAATTGCAAAGAACTGTTGTTGTGGGCAGGAAAAATAGACGGGATCATTTTTTTCCCCGTTTTTCCTTGGATGGACTATGATGAGAACTTACTCTATCTGGAAAAAGCCTAAAAGGCACACAAACTGCTCTCTTCACAAAGGTGGGGATGTGCCAAATAATAAGATTTTAAAGAAAGCATAACAAATAATAATATTTTTAAGAAGGTTGCGGGCAGATGACAGTGATATCATATTGAGTAATGAATAAATTGATGGGGATTTTTTTTGAGGGGGGGGTGACTTTTTGCATCATTTTTTTTCTAATTATATACCTGTGTATATGGTAACATGTCCTTTTCCATATCTGAGATTCTCAGATATGGAATTTAGTGGCTCACATAAATTACCATAAAGTCAGGGGATGCCTCAAATATTCTGAAGATCCCCCCAAATTGCCAGCATATCTTTTGTTCAACTCTGGTTTTACCCATTACAAAGTAACAGTTGAAATATTGCCAATAAGTTATACGCTTTTATAAGAAAAATTGCAAAATTATTATTATTATTATTATTATTATTATTATTATTATTATTATTATCATCGTTATTTATACCCCGCTTTTTCTCTCCACAATGAGACTCAAAGCGGCTTACATTAAAAGCATTTCAATACAATTTAAAATCAAAAGAGCTTTCCTGTGAAGCTCCTCTCTTGAGAGGCTGGAGAAGGGGAGATTTAAAGAGCCAGGTTCTGCATGAGATAACAGGAAGCCTCTGTTTCATCAGAAATTGATATTGATATCTAGAGTATTTTCAAGAATGGGAGCTGCACCAATATTTAAAAAGGCCTTACAAAGGTTGTGCTCTCAGCAAATTCTGGCATTTAACAGAGACTAGCTGAACAGCATTAATTGAAGATAAATTCTAGAATAATTTAAGTAGAATTTCAGGTTCAAATAACTAGTTGATCAGTTTTGTTTGGATCAGCATTCCAAGGGAACAAGCTGTAGGGCCTGGAAGAGAGCAACATGGTCCAAAACAAGTTAGTATGTTAAGACAGAACCCAGTTTATATTGTTTTACATAAATGTTAAATACATGATCTAAGTGAAGAACTCTGGGAAAATGTGGCACAGCTACTAGCCACAAAGTTCTTGATTTTTCAGGCACTTCAGGAACAATGAAAAGATTGCTCACCTGAGTGACTCAGTGCGGTTGATCCATGGCTTGCAAGGTTTTGGAGAGATGTACAATATTGGCTCCTCGGTAAGTACCATGAGTGCCTTATTATCTGAAACAGGATGCTGTAACCTTGAAAACAAATAGAAAACATGGCTATTAGCAATATATGTATGTTGCTACAAATGTAAAATCCTAAATAGGGGTGTGAGTAACAGTAGAAATCAATTCTATTTTCTGCTCGTCATAGGGGTTCTGTGTTGGAAGTTTGGCTTGTTGGGTTCAGAATGCTCTTTGATTGTAGGTGAACTACAAATCCCAGCAACTACAACTCCCAATTATCAAGGTCTGTTTTCACCAAACTCCACCAGTGTTCACATTTTGGCATATTGAGTATTTGTGCCAAGTCTGGTACAGATCCATCATTGTTTGAGTCCACAGTTCTCTCTGGATTTAGCTGAACTACAACTCCAAAACTCAAGGGCAATGTTCACCAAACCTTTCCACTATTTTCTGTTGATTAGTGGGAGTTCTGTGTACCCAGTTTGGTTCAATTCCATCGTCAGTGGAGTTCAGAATGCTCTTTGATTGTAGGTGAACTACAAATCCCAGCAACTACAATTCCCAAATGACAAAATCAATCCCCCTCAACTCCGCCAGTATTCCAATTTGGGCGTATCAGGTATTTGTGCCAAATTTGGTCCAGTGAATGAGAATACATCCTGCATATTAGATAATTAACATTACGATACTTAACAGTAGCAAAATTACAGTTATGAAAGTAGCAACGAAAATAATTTTATGGTTGGAGGTCAACACAGCATGAGGAACTGTATTATGGGATCATGGCATTAGGAAGGTTGAGAACCACTGGCATAAGGAATCTGTGGCAAAGGCAAGTCAGCAGATAAATGACACAATAAGATCAGTCAAGGTAACTCTGATCCAGCTACAAGATATGGCAAAGTTACACATAGGAAAAAAGAGTAGGATGGAAAATTCTGCAGTGTTCCAGCCTCACTTCTCTAAACTCATCTTTCTAAACATCTGTTCCATAGATCTCAAGCAGTTAGCCTACAATACAGAATTTTGCTTGTAAAGACAATACCGGCACTTTGTCTTGCTGCCTGATTTTCAACTACTCATGGTTCCAGCACATCTGTGGATCATGATATTTTTTAAAAGACTATTAGAAAGGAAAGATTCTGATAGGAGGGAACAACCATTATTTGAGAAAGCCAAAGCTGCAATCTGGAGATGATTAAGAAAACATTTGCATAGTGTCTGACAATCAGCTTCTGCAACAGGCCAAAGAAGAACATTAGGAGAAAAATGGGGAAATAATCATCTCCAGGCAACCCAAGGACCAGACAGCAAACTCAGGCTTAGGAGGGGGGAAAAAAAGATATATTCACAGAATAAGCCAATGAAAAAAAATTGGAGAGAATCACTGCACAGATGGTAGACATAAGGAAAACAGCAGGAGAAGCATTGGAAATAAATCTAAGACATGAAGAAAAACTAAACATGATGGAAGAACAAATCAAACAATTACAATAAAAATTGTACAGATGGTGACTAAAATGATTAAAGGGCTGTAAAGCATGCCCTAAAGAACTAAGAAGAGAAGGCTGAGGGGAGACATGATAGCCATGTTTAGGAGGGCAACTAAAATGATCAAGGGTCTGGAGAACAAGCCCTATGAGGCACGGCTTAAAGAGATGGGCATGTTTAGCCTGCAGAAGAGAAGGCTGAGAGGAGACATGATAGCCATGTTTAGGAGGGCAACTAAAATGATCAAGCATCTGGAGAACAAGCCCTATGAGGAGCGGCTTAAAGAGCTCGGCATGTTTAGCCTGCAGAAGAGAAGGCTGAGAGGAAACATGATAGCCATGTTTAGGAGGGCAACTAAAATGATCAAGCATCTGGAGAACAAGCCCTATGAGGAGCGGCTTAAAGAGCTGGGCATGTTTAGCCTGAAGAAGAGAAAACTGAGAGGAGATATAACAGCCATGTATAAGTATGTGAGAGGATGTCATAAGCAAGAGGGAGCAGGCTTGTTTTCTTCTGCCCTGGAGACAAGGAGCAATGGGTTAAATGACAAGAAAGGAAATTCCACCTGAACATTAGGAAGAATTTCCTGACTGTAAGAGCTGTTCAACAGTGGAACCCTCTGCCTCAGAGTGTGGTGGAAGCTCCTTCCTTGGAGGCTTTTAAACAAAGGCTGGATGGTCATCCAACAGGGTGCTTTGATTGTGCTTTTCTGGCATGGCAGGGGTTGGACTGGATGGTCTGTGTGATCTCTTCCAACTCTGTCATTCTATGATTCTATGAATACAAGTTGGAATATCAGGATCATAAAATAAAAATAGGCATCTAAATATCTGCATTCACAAGTGAAGAGGGGGCTTGAGAAATTCCATTGCTTCAGGGTCCAGGATGTATACTTTTGAGCTATATTTACACCTTTTCTACTTTGCACAAATGGGTCTCATGCTGATTTGATGAAATCTTTCAAATCAAGAGGAAAAGGGGCAGGAATATAAGCAGCCCTGTGAAGTGCTCTCAGAGAGCACAATAGTAATGTTGGAAGTAGAATCAGCCTCAGCCTTATGAAATCCAAGGAGTTTGATTGCTTAGGTAAGATAACCTAAACTTATCTAAACTTAAGTATTTCTCCCTTGATGGATAAATACGATAATGGTGGTGCATGTGCTGGTAACCTCAAGGTTGGACTTCTGCCATGCGCTTTACGTTGGGCTACTTCTGTATCAAGTTCGGAAACTTCAATTATGAGGGTTGAATGAAAAGTAATGCCTCCACCTTCATTACTTGGATTTGGATGGGAATATTTTAATAAATCAAACACAGAAATAATCCTTAGAATGTGCTCTTTAACTACCACTATTCACTTTTCCACATAATCACCAGATAATTGGATACATTTTTGCCAATGATTAACAAGTTTTCTGAAGCCGTCATGGAAGAAGTCGACACTCTCTTTTTGCAAGCCATTGTGCACAGGTCTTCCAATAGCCAAGCAAAGCAATAATGTGACCCACATGTTCTTGTGAAATGCCGATTGTGCTTGAAATTTCTCTCTGAGTGATACGACGATTGTCCTGAATCAATCTGTCAACCTTTTGCTTGTGAACTCAGTGGTTGCTGTCATAGGACGTCCAACTCTATGTTTGTCACACAAGTCTGATGTTCCCACTTCAACATCTTGAAACTTACTCACCCAACGATGTACAGTACTCACATCAACACCATCACCATAAACAGCTTGCATTCTCTGATGAATCTCCTTTGGGGTGACATCTTCTGCTGTCAATAATTCAATGACTGCACATTGCTTAAGTCGCATTGAGCGACTGTCTGTGCAGGGTTCAATACTTTGCACTTTAACAACACAATCATTCAATGCTAAGGCTTCCTGCCAAAATGGAACTGTAGAGAAGAGTCTACTGAACAAGCCAGTACCTGCCGCATACCAGTACTGCCATCTGTTGAGGGGTTACGAAGGTGGAGGCATTACTTTTCATTCAACCCTCGGAGTTCAAAACACAGCAGCCAGACTACTGACAGGAACATCCAGGAGTGCACATATCACACCTACGCTAAATTCACTCCACTGTTTGCCAATTAATTTCTGGGCAAAGTACAAAGTGCTGGTTTTGACCTTAAAAGCCCTACATGATTTGGGTCCAGGCTTCCTACATTGCCTTCTCGTGTACAATCCATTCCTTAGGACACTGGAGAAGCTACTCCATCCAACTGACAATCGTCATCCAGCTAAATCCTCTACTTCTAATGGTTACTAAATGGAAACTGGTTCCAGAGTCTCAGCAACTGCACAGTCAGAGGCACAAGGAGGATTCATTTCAGTATGAACAGATCAAACAGCTTTGTTAGCATAGTCAGCTCTGGAAGTGGCAGACATTGCCATAGTCGATGCTGTTGTGTGCACCTAAGAGCATATGCACTACTTGGAATAGGAGAGCTTCAGGAAGGAGAGAGTTTTAATGGACTTGGCTTTAAATTGTCTGTATCCTAAAGGTACATGTGAGAGACAAGATGAGGGGAGTAAAACAACAGAAAGATAGGAGGGGATTAAAAAGGGAGAACAACTAATATGGACAACTGAAGACTAGAGTCTTAAAGTTTAGGATTTATAGAGAAGGGGAGAGATTTAAATTAAAAAATAAGGCCAAGGAAGTGGAGCAGACAAACTCCACTTTGGCATTTCCTGGATGAGAGAATAAGAACACTTAAAGCAGGAAGAGATGAGGACTGATAGGGGTTCGCTTTAAGTAATGTAATACCTTGCCGAGCTTAGAAAGTAACAGGAATGAACCCATTAATAGATAACACCTTCTCTGCTGGATGAAATTTACAAAACATCCCCACTACAACCTTTTACAGATATATATGCATATGAGGTATAGACAAGAAGCAAGCAGAATGTAAGCTTTTATGCTCACCGATCAATGTCCCTGCCATCTTTTTGCTGAGGTGCACCTCCAGAGAATTCAAGAAGATGTCTGCTCTGGTAAGCAGGGTTGGTATGAAGTTCTTCAGAATCAGGGGTCCATTCAAGCACCCTAGAAACAAAAGGCAAAACATAAATTCCTCCTTTAGTGAGCCACCTCAAGTGTAAATACAAGGTAGAAAAATAATGGCTTATCATCCCATTCCGATTGGTCATAGTTAACAGTAACGGCTCTGCCTTAGCCAACCCTAAATTACTCTAAACCACTCAAGCCACTGTAAACACCTTCACAGAAGCATACAAGAAGTTCGGCCTATCATTGATCATCGAGAAAACCAAAGTGCTGTTCCAGCACTCACCAGCCAATCCCTCTCCGATGCCAGAGATACAACTAAATGGTGTAACATTAGAAAATGTTGACCATTTTCGCTACCTTGGCAGCCACCTCTCTACCAAAGTCAACATCGACACCGAAATACAACACCGCCTGAGCTCTGCGAGTGCAGCATTTTCCTGAATGAAGCAGAGAGTGTTTGAGGACCGTAGGGATACCAAGGTGCTTGTTTATAAAGCTATTGTCCTCCCAACCCTGCTATATGCCTGCGAAACGTGGACTGTCTACAGATGTCACATGCAACTCCTGGAACGATTCCATCAGCTCTGCCTCCGGAAAATCCTGCAAATCTCTTGGGAAGACAGGCGGACAAACGTCAGCGTGCTGGAAGAAGCAAAGACCACCAGCATTGAAGTGATGGTCCTCTGCCATCAACTCCGCTGGACCGGCCACGTTGTCCAGATGCCCGACCACTGTCTCCCAAAGCAGTTGCTCTATTCCGAACTCAAGAACGGAAAATGGAATGTTGGTGGGCAGGAAAAGAGATTTAAAGATGGGCTCAAAGTCAATCTTAAAAACTCTGGCATAGACACCTGAGAACTGGGAAGCCCTGGCCCTTGAGCGCTCCAGCTGGAGGTCAGCTGTGACCAGCAGTGCTGCAGAATTTGAAGAGGCACGAATGGAGGGTGAAAGAGAGAAACGGGGCCAAGAGGAAGGCACGTCAAGCCAACCCCGACCAAGACTGCCTTCTACCTGGAAACCAATGCCCTCACTGCAGGAGAAGATGCAGATCAAGAATAGGGCTCCACAGTCACCTACGCACCCACCAGAATACCGATCCTGGAAGACTATCCTACTCGGCCAACGAGGGATCGCCTAAGTAAGTAAGTAAGATATCATCTGAAACATATGTTTTCCTGAGGACAGAATAATCCTTCAATTAGACAACATAAATGAAAACACACAAAGTTGGTAAATGCCAGTAACAAAGATGTCCTCCTTCTCCTTCCAAATAGATCTGCAACATTAGCTCCAGTCAGCATTTTCTGGTCAGATATGCAGAATCCACATTTGAAACCCAGAAGCAAATTAATTTGTGAACCTAGTATGTGATCCAATGCCAATCTCGGTATAAGAAGTGACCCAAGATTCCAATTAGTGTTGTAAGCAGGTAGCATTGCAGCCAGTTGCATTTTCAGAGGCAGTATGGTCTTTGTTTCTTTATGCTGGCACAGTTTGATGCTGCTCGGTATCTTTTGTGCAAAACAACAGACAGCAAGATCTAACATATGTTTACCCAGAAGTAAATCTTTGTTACACTCAAGGTGACATATTCCTCAGTAAGGTGCTTATTACACTATTGGTGATATAGTCCTATTGGTCAATTTTAACTGCCAGGGCAACATCCTACAGAATCAGCATTTAATTCATTACTGCTTGGGTTATTTTGCATGAAAAATAGACATTCCAAGAATTATCTTTTCCTCATGCGTTACCTGTCAGCAAGTCACAGATGAATTGATCCTATTTTGAGAGAAGGTTTAGTCATCCTTTCTCCATATCAGAGAAGGTAATAGTTAAATCTGGTGATTATGAGGGAATTTTTTACTACTGGAATATGCTGTAAGCTATACCACTAAATTCAGTACAAAATCATGGCAATGTATTTTGCAGCAAACAGCAATTTGTTTTTGCATTTTGACACCGAATTTCAGCAGTACTCCCTGTGGGAGGGGCATGAAGGATCACACTAAAGTTTTGAAAAATAATGCATGTTTGGGGGAATCCTGAACTTGTAACTTCTAAAGAATGAAACAAAGATTACTTCATTTAGGCAACACTGTTCTTTTTTATGGTGACTTTTATTGCCCACCAGTTTTTTTCATGATTTCCATAAAGCATGTCTGATGGCCCAATAAAATCTCACACAGGTGTACAACATGTTAAGGTACCCAGAGGCACTGAAATGACCCTCACCGTAGTTTATCATGATTCCACATTACAAAAGCCAGCAGCATCAGCACGCAGATTGCTCTTCTCTTTGGAGAGGGGCTCTTGAGATTCTGGTTCTGAGTAGGAAAAAAAACACATTCAAAGAAGATAACATTTTTTCTAGCATTGCTTTCAACAGTCCAGATTCTATTGTGATTTGTTACTATTGGCATAAGGTGTTAGCTACTTTGGCCATTTAAAGACATTTAGAGCACTGCTTTGTAAACTGTAAGTCCTGACCTCAAATGGAGGTGGAAAGGTGTCGTGAGTAACAAAAAGTGTACTAAACCCTGATTTAGAAGATTCAAACAATTACTGCCCAGAAAATCTGTCATCAATACCAAGAAAGGTTCTAGAAAAGATCATTAAGCAAATTATCTATAATCACTCAGAAATGAATGCCACACTCACAAAAAGTCAACATGGGTTTCTAAAAACAAGTCATGCAAGATGACTGTTATCTCTTTTTTTTTTGACAGGTTTACAAGTTTGGTACATGAAGGGAATGCTGTGGATGTGGCATATCTTGACAAGGTCCCCATGACATTCCCACAAAGGAACTAGTAAAATTACAATGCTATTGTTAGGTGGACTGGGAGCTGGTTGACTGACTGAACTAGATCCAAGTCTATACAAAGTAGAGATTTTAACAGTTGGCAGATCCTGCAACCTAAACATTTCTTTAATCCACAGTCTTTTGCTATGTCTTTCTACTAAGGGAAGCAAACTATGCATTTTTCACCACAAACACACCTACCTCTTCTGCCAATTCATCCAACTGCCTCTTCAGGGAGCCATTCTCTCGCTTCAGGCGGTCGTTCTCCAACAAGGCCACATTTAGCCTAGCCTCCAAGCTCAACAGGTATTCCTTTTTTTTCCTGCGTGACTGACATGCTGATTCTCGATTTTTTATCATCCGTTGCTGTTTTTTCAGAACATTTATCTATGGATGAAGTCAGCAAAAGTTTTAAAAAAAGGAGAGCTATACTGCAAAAAGTAAATGTTTAAGAAAGCAAGGACTTCCACAATTTTTCATGTTACTTTAATCAGTGGCCACTATTTTAATATCGCGAGATATATATATGCAGAAAACAGAAGGAACATCCAATTTAAACGGAGAGTGTTCTTTGCAGACAATGCAGAGTTTTATGTAACAGTGTTATTAATTTGTAATTCACTACCCATGTACTTCTGGAATGTTGCAACCATTTACAGTGCTTTTAAGGCTGGTTTTCCAGTCTTGGCTAAAGTACAGGGTAAGGCAGCATAACTTCCTTTTTTAAAAAGGACGCCATTCAGTCGGTTGAAGATGTAGCGAAGTGCTAGTAGTCTCGTTCGAGAGACGGGAGTATAAAGTTTTGTCCTGACACAGTTCAGTCGCCATCATGCGTTGGAACAGTGAGGAGCGTGCTTTTGCCATTGAGGCCTACTTTTCGAGCGGATTTGGAGTGGCCGGCCCGCTCTCCAGATTTGGCCCCTTGTGATTTTTTTCTATTTTTTTTTAAATCCCGTGTTTCTGTGAACCACCCAAGGACCCTACAAGATTTGAAGACTAACATCCAGGATGAAATTGCCAACATAAGGCCTGCTATGCTGGCAAGAGTCATGACAAACACCAGAAATCGGTTTATTATTATTATTATTATTAACTTTATTTGTACCCCGCTAGCATCTCCCGAAGGACTCGATGCGGCTTACACAGGCCGAAGCCTCAAAACACAATACAATAGAAAACATAACACAACAATAAACAAAGCAAATCACCAATTAAGCAAAATAACAACCATGACAATACATCAATACATCAAGACACTATTAAAACTGGTTCGGCCGGCGCAATGGGGTACAGGGTTAAAAGTGCTGAGATGGCAGGAGGAACGTAGGATTAAAAGTGCGGTGTGCAGCAACATTGGTTGTGCTAAAGTGCTTCTAGGACTTGGGATGGGGGATTCCTAATCTGCGAAGGCACATCGGAACAGCCAAGTTTTTAGGTTCCTTCTGAAAACTGCTAGAGTAGGGGCCTGACGAAGCTCTTTTGGAAGGGCATTCCAAAGTCGGGGGGCCGCCACAGAGAAAGCCCTGTCCCGTGTCCCCACCAAGCGCGCTTGCGACGTAGGTGGGATCACGAGCAGGGCCTCCCCAGATGACCGGAGCGAGCGTGTGGGTTCGTAGATGGAGATGCGGTCACGCAGGTAGGGTGGTCCCAAACCGTTTAGGGCTTTGTAGGTAAGCACCTGCACCTTGAATTGGGCTCGGAAAATAAAAGGCAGCCAGTGGAGCTCCTTAAACAGAGGGGTAGACCTCTCTTGATAATGAGCCCCAGTTAGCATCCTAGCTGCTGCCCGCTGGACCAATTGAAGTTTCCGAGCCGTCTTCAAGGGCAGCCCCACGTAGAGCGCATTGCAGTAATCCATTCTAGAGGTGACCAAGGCGTGGACCACCCCGGCCAGATCTGCGTTTACTCAGTGTATGGAGAATGGGGGACGTTACCTACCTAATTTGATCTTCAAAACTACGTAAAACAAAACTTTAGGTATGCGCCTACACTATAAAAAAAAATTCTGATTCATACAAAGGGTTTTATTAAGTTTTGAAAAAAGGAAGTTATGCTGCCTCACCCTGTAGAATTTAGGTCACCTATACATTCTCTTGGGCCCCTGGTGGTGCAGTGGGTTAAACCACTGAGCAGCTCAAATCTGGGGAGCGGGGTGAGCTCCTACTGCTAGGCCCAGCTTCTGCCAACCTAGCAGTTCAACAACATGTAAATTTGAGTAGTTAAATAGGCACCGCTTTTGCAGGAAGGTAACAACGCGCCACGCAGTCATGCTGGCCACATGACCTTGGGGGTGTCTACGGACAATGCGGGCTCATTGGCTTAGAAACAGAAATAAGCACCACCCCTCAGAGTTGGACACAACTAGACTTAATGTCAGGGGCTGCCTTAAAATCTTTACCTTTACTATACATTCTCTTACAACTGGTAATTTCCTATTTCCATTTCTTACTGTAACATAGCATCCCACAGAAATAAGCTTAATAGAAATATTAAAAAATATATAATAAGTTTTAAGGCAGCCACCACATCACTCTAGTGCAGTGGTTCTCAACGGTCCTAATGCCGCGACCCCTTAATACAGTTCCTCATGTTGTGATGACCCCCAACTATAAAATTATTTTTGTTGCTACTTCATAACTGTCATTTTGCTACTGTTATGAATCATAATGTAAATATCTAATATGCAGGATGTACGAGGGTGGGTCATAAAGTTTTGCTTCCTGTGTCATAAAAACATTATAAATGAACATATAACAGCAGAAGTTTCTACAGATCATAGCCTGAACTATCTTCTATGCAAAACTACCATTCAACATAGTCCCCATCAATTTGTACACTTTTGCATCATCGTTAAACCCAGGCATCAAAACCATTTTGGAAAAATATCAGGGTTTTGCTTTATGACTCATGATTTTAAAACTGTTTTAACGTCATTCAATATCAGACTATGCAGAGAAGCCAGAGGTCCTCTGAAAGACAACCTACGTGGTTTCAGATTCAATGACTTGAATGATGTTAAAGGAAGAGATCTTCAGCCTTCTCTGCCAAAGGGATTTCTAAGACCATCAGACATATGTGTTTTCTGATGGTCTTTGGCGACTCCTTCAGGGGTACCGACCTCCAGCTTGAGAAACGCTGCTCTAGTGCCTCCAATTCTACATAAGGTTTCCTGGCCTGCTAAAGCAAGAGGAGAATATCACCTCTCGTCCTTTGAGGATAGGAGTTTGAAAATAGGCCCCGGTATCACTGGGCCTGGCAATGCAGCAAATGGGATACAGGTGCAAGTAGAAGTAAAGAGATAGGAACTTTTTCACTTCTCTGTACTGGAAATTGTCAGTCTCACTAATCCATAAGGCACTGGTGAAAGCATGAAGGAAGCAACCAGCTAGTCCACTATTTACAGGCCAAGCATCCCTTATCTGGAGATCCAAAGTCTGAAATGCTGCAAAATTCTACATTGTTTATATAACGTTTTAACATTTTATCCTGCACATTTGGCCCGCCCTCCGTGTTTGATTTTTATTATGTTGTTTTGCACTGTTTATTTTATTTTGTTATTTCATGTATTTTGTTTTGATGTAATTTTCCTGTTATTTTATGTTTAACTTTACTGTATTATTTTTCGGGTTTGGCCTCATGTTAGCCGCCCCGAGTCCCCTTTGGGGAGATGGTGGTGGGCTAAAATTAAAGACTATTATTATTATTATTATTATTATTATTATTATTATTATATGGTTGGCTGAGATAGTGACACCTTTGTTTTCTGGTACTTCAATGTACAAAATGTTTGCTTCACGCACAAAATTATTAAAAATATTGTGTACAAAAATTATAGTCAGGATATGTGTGCAAAGCTGTATATGAAACATAAAAACACTTATGTCTAGACTTGGGCCCCATCTCGAAGACACCTCATTATGTACTCACATGCAAATACTGGCATTCCAAAATCTGGAGGGAAATAGTTCGAAACACTTCTGGTCCCAATCATTTTGGATAAAGGATACTGAGTGGCAGTAAAGGCCAAACATGAGTGGTAATCACCAAACCAGAGGGCCAGTGGCTTAATTCTTGCTAATTAATAAACTTACGCTTAAGATTTTAATACCATTTGGCATCTAAACTGTACAGTGACCAAACGTTTCACAGTGAAAGAACAAGAATAAAAAATCTTCTCTCACAGAAAACCAGAATAACCTGGAGGTGTCTAAGCAGAAGCTGGACTGCCATCTGTTGAGAGTGCTTTGATTGTGTGTTCCTGCATGGTAGAATGGGGTTAGGCTGGCTGGCCTCTTCCAATTCTAGGATTCTATGAATCCAAGGAAAGGATATTCAGCTTGGCTTCATTGTCTCCCTGTACAAAGCAGCCATTTCTTTTCATACAGAGGAGAGTTTAAGTATGGGAATGGTTACCTGCAGATTGAGTGACATAAAACCTAATTTCCAAACATTCTGTAGATACTGTTTGCCCAGCCTTTCACTGTTCTTCTCCTCCTGTTTAAGGAGTGTTGCAGGGTTATGGGGTGATTCAGAAATGGAAACAGGAGTCATGCCATATTTGACATCGATAATAACATCATAACTGATGGTTGCTTACAGTTTCCTTGGGACCTTGAAAAGTGAACTGGAGCAAAATAAATTATCCAGATGGGAAAGTCAATTCAAAACAGATGTTAGAAGGCACTTACATTCATGCCAATGTTTTCAGAAGTAGCACGAAGAGCAGTCTTAGCCTCTGCTGTGCTTGCACTAGCAAGACTTTCCCCAGTAATTTGTGGCAATATATTGACAGTATGGCCTGGCAGGGATGCAAGTTCACCAGTGATGGCAATGGTTGGGCTGGTGGGAGGGAGGATTCCAGGAGTCTGAAGATGTGCCACGGCAGAATGAGAAAGCACCACTGGTTGGCCTAAGACAGAAACAAAGAGCATTGTAATTTCAATTTAAGGCTTATGGAATGGGTTGGGTTTCTGCAGAAAGGTGCAAAAGAAACAGTTACCCTCCCCTAACTTTATCAATCTGAGAAGAACATTTCACAACTTGAAAACCAGGTACATAAGACACGACCTCCGTTCAGCCAGACCCTGCTTCTCATTTGGATAGAACCTCCTATGCTACGCTTCATGCTACATTTAATAATAATAATAATAATATAATAATAATCTTTATTTATACCCCGCCACCATCTCCCCAATGGGGACTCAGAGCGGCTTACATGGGGCCAAGCCTGGACAACATATTACAGCCATAAAATCAAAACATAAAAACAAATAACGACAACATCATCAAAGTACATTAATAATAATAAGAGAAAAAAAACATTTGAAACTTCTTTCAGTTTCAAACATGCATTGGACTTGTTATAGGAAGTGCCATTCAAGAAAATAAAATGTTCCTGTCAGATCCGAACAAGAGTATTATATTTAGTCCAGCACAATATTTTGACAGTGTCTAAATCAGCAGAAAAAATCAGCAAGAGGAACCTATTGCTAACTATTTAATGTATTTCACTAAGAGTATATTGTTTGCCGTTTTGAATCTTTGTGGGGAGAAAGATGAGACAGAAATCAAATAAATCAAATAGATTTCAATATGAAGTTGGTTTGGAGGGTGGCAACTCCTTCAACAGACGCAACCCAGATGAGAGCCAATCACCTTTAATTTTTATTTTCCAGAAGGAATCCATTTATCATTTTGGCACTAAAAATTACAGGAGCAAAGGGGAGAGGAGACCCAAATTATAATCCCACCAGGATGAGAATGCAATGCCCTTATTATTTACAAAAGTGTGGATTGGAATATGGATTGAGTTCCCTATATCTACTCTAAAGCAGAGCTTTTTCAGCTTCTTTGACTTGCAACCCCTTTTTATCCAAAAAATATTTACAAGACCCCAGGTATGTACAGGATAGAGGGAAGGGGGAAGCGAAGAGAGACACATGTGTGTGAGAGAGTGAGAGAGAAAGGAACGAAGCAAGACAAGGGAGAATGGAAGCAAAATGTGTGGGAAGAAAGGATACAAATATTTCCTCCCCAAAATAGCCAATAGGACCCCTCCCTTTTTGCAGGAAACGACTGCCCATTCGACCATATGTTTAGGGGACTCTGGACTGCCTCCTCTGTTGAAAGGATGCTTCAACAATGAAGAGATTGGATGTTATGCTGTTCACTTCCAGTTTTGAAATGTGGTCTGTCTATGTATATTCAAGAAAGACCACTTTTAAAATGGTTATATGGAAAGAAAGACCTTTAAAACCTTTTGTTAAATGTGCAATACTGACAAAATTGTCAAACCTAAGAGGCTTAGGGGGCCAATTATTTATTTTTTAATATCATTTCTATCCTGCTCCTCTCATCCCAGAGGGGACTCAGAGTGGTGTACAAACTTTATAAAGAACACATATAGGCAAACATACAATGCTGTTACACATTTGACAGGACAAATAATGCATAGAGAGAGGTATAAGCTTTTTTCCATCTCCAACATCTGGAGGCTGTGATCGACAGGAGTGTGTGTGTGTGTGTGCGCGCGCGCTGTCACTCTATCTTTCATGCTGAGGAACTTTTTTGTTGTCCATAGATGCCTCCCAATCAAATTGTCCGTATGTCTTTTACAGACCCTTTTATTAGCTCACCACTTTTAAAGCGGTCCATATTTATTGTTAGGAAAAAACTACCCTAAAATATAGCAGAAGGTCCAAAAATCAAACAGGATACAAAAGTTGAGCATCAGCTCATTAGCAAGCAGAGCGTGAAATGCCATGTGATGTGGCTGTGAAGAATTAAGAGTAATATGTAGCTCCTGAAGTAAAACATGTATGCATTTATGAAGCCACTTCAGTTGGATAGAAATAAAAAAATATACTATGGTCCCATCTATATGGAAACTGCATTATATGTTCACTGTAGACTCAAAGACTGCACTGAACTGCATTATATGAGTCTAATAATAATAATAACAATAACAACAACAAACAACAACAACAATAATAAAAACAAAGTGCTTGGGAAGTGTGATTTTGTGATACGAAATCCAGCATATAGATCTCGTTTGCTGTGACATACTATGCTTTTGTGTCAATAATAACAAACTTATTTGTACCCCACCACCATCTCCCCAAAAGAGACTCGGGGCTGCTAATATGAGGCCAAGCCCAAAGATACAATACAACAAAATAAAATACAAAATGCAGGCAACATTTCATGAGAATAAAATACATAAAATAAACAAAGTAGCAAAATAAAATAAACAAAGGAGATTGACATATATAAAATCAAACACAACGTGCAGGCCAAATGGACCAGTTAAAATGATAAAACCCTGATTGAGGTAGGAATAGAAAAAGCATAATTGAGAGGAGCCCAAAAAGTTTCAAAGTGCAAAACATGGCAGTGTAGATGGGGCTGTAATTAAAGTGATTTTAAAATTCTGAACCACTGAGGGAAAAATGGTGGACTGAACGATAGCTGAAGAAAAATCTCATTTGCTCCTCTCTCTTTACAGCTCATTTTTTTCCTCATCCACCCTGCCATGCCTCCACATACCTTTAGGAGGTGCTGGCTGGATAGAAACAACTGGTTGCTGCTTTGGCAGAGTCACAAGTGTTGGAAAAGCTGGAATGACAATAGCTTTAGCCTGGACGCTGAGGGGACTCTGAGACTTCCGAAAAGCAGGCAAAAGAGGCTTGGGCTGAATCAAAGGTTTGGAAACTCGTGGGTGACATCGATTTGGAGTTGCTGATAATCTATTTGCTGGAGAGCAGAATAGAAGTTAATTAAAACAGGGAAAAAAAACTTAAAATCAATTCCCAGGCTCAACTAAAGTAATCATGGCGACTCAACAGCGAAAGATAAGATTTTCTCCTCTCCCGAATTAGCTTAACCCAGGAGAAAGCCAGATTACAGCTTTTAGCCTCCATGTGACTTTTTTTTGTTGTGTCAGCAGCGACCTGAGAAACTGCAAGTTGCTTCTGGTGTGAGAGAATTGGCCGTCTGCAAGGACGTTGCCCAGGGGACACCCAGATGATTTAATGTTTTATCATCCTTGTGGGAGGCTTCTCTCGTGTCCCCGCATGAGGAGCTGGAGCTGATAGAGGGAGCTCATCCGCCTCTCCCCGGGGATTCGAACCTGCGACCTGTCGGTCTTCAGTCCTGCCGGCACAGGGGTTTAACCCACTGCGCTACCAAGGGCTTCTCCATGTGGCTGATCTAAGGGCACACCAACCTGTTTGGTCAGTGTAGATGTGTCTTAAGACACATAAAACTTACTGTTTTCAATACACTGCTCTAAATCAAGAGACTGCATTTTCCCCCTACTGCGCTTATAAAAGAAATATTTGCCCAGATTATGACCCACAGACAGAAGATGGCCAGAACCAGAGTATCCCTCATACCTGAGCACTGCTTGCTTTTAGACAGGGGCTTCTTCTCTTTTTGTTCTGTATACAAACAGGTGCTTGGGAAGTCCTTTCCATACAAAGATACAGGAGATGATTGGGAACTTGAACCCAAGTCTACATCTTCCTGGGAAAATTAGAACAAATTGCACAAAATTAGATCCTGTTGCAAAAAGTGAGTAAAATATAATCACATACAAACCAAAAGTCCTTCAAATCTAAAATTCTATTCACTTTTATTGCTTCTGGTGTGTAATTCTAGTTACATCTCAATTTTTGTTCTAAAAAGGAAAGCTCTTGCAGGTAAATCTAAATTTGTATTGTCTATCTCAATCGTGCCTCTGGATCTTAAAAGACTGGCTACGAATGGTTACTTAGAACCCAGATTTCATGGACTGCATCTGACTAGCCCAAAGTGTTAACCTGCTCACAGGGACATGCTGAACTGGAGAATCCACAGACAAAGGAGATGGAACTGAATCTGTTGAAGTAGCTGGTGAGAGAGGCTCCACCTTATAGTCTGCAACTGCAAAAGAAAAACAGGATAGTCTCAAGATGCATATTAATGAAACACTTTGTCCAAGCTGGATTTCAAGTAAAACATCTTTGCTATATACTTGGACACTGAAATACGTATTGTAAATAAACTAGAAGAGGATGACCCCTTTTCCTTGCCTCAGGGGAAAGGTATTATTTTATTTATTTATTTATTTATTTATTTATGTCAATTTTATCCCGCCCATTTCAGCCTGAAGGCGACTCAGGGCGATGTACAGATTGGCAACAATTAGATGCCATATATAAATACATACATCAGTACTGTGGATGTAGCATTTATTTATTTCTAACAATAAGAACACTTTTATTGGGTGTGCCAAATGTTCTTTCACATATGGAAGTTCTTTTGGTGACATTTATTCTAAATTTATTTTTTCCAGACATTATTGTATTTATTGCTACAGGATTTTCTTGACATTATTTTATTTGAAGATAAAACACAGCTCTGCTCAGCTTTGGTGCTGGTTCTAGCTGCTGACAGTCAAAAGTTTTGCTTGACTTTTCCTGTATGTGAACAATCTTCTGATTAAAAAAATTGCAACACCTCTATTTTCAGCTGTTGTCCGAAAAGAATATTTTTCAGTGGAAGATGCAGTCCTACAACTGTTACCACGATAAGCAAATTGATCTGAAATTACCTGTTGAAGTCTGCTTTGAAGTATCTGTTGGATCTGAGTCCCAAGACATCAGATCTAAATCGAAGTCAAGTTCACAAAAGCTGTTTTCCTACAAATCACAAAAGCAAAGTTTACAGAGAGAAAAGCATCTAAAGCACTGAAGAGTGCTGAGGGGAAAAAGTAATTTATTTGCTTTACCTATCACCCATCTTGCGGGTTGAGATCAAAAGAAATCCGTTCTTTGAAAATACTCTGGCAACAATGAGAGTTCTCAGTTCTAAGACTCCTTCATATGCCCTCGCTTTTTCCTTTACTGCCTTCCAGGCTCCAAACAATTTGAACAAAATGAACTGCAGTACAGGCCCGATATATTAGGGCACATTGCCAAGCCTCTTTAGATGTATACTTACAACTAGAAAAATGCACTTCCTACATGAATCTATAATTTTTGGTTGTAACACCTATTTTTTACTAGTAGTTCATTACTTAATGCTAATTTGAAACTTTTGGTTGTTAAGTTTATTTAATTACTTGCTGAGGATAATTAAAACTGTCTAGAGTTCACTAAATAGATGCTGGATATCAATTGTTGAACAAACACTGAAAACCATTGTAGACACTACCATGGCTTGAATAGCCTGGTCATTTCAAACATTCAGATACTAACAAACATGGCTAGAATACCTGAAACAAGTAGACTATAACAAAAACAGTTCTGTTCATCTGCTTCTACTGTTTACTTTATACACTCATGCATAAGTCAAGGGCAGGTTTGGGAACTATGGGCCCTTCTGGACAGGCCCTATTACAGGGATAAACATGAAAGCATTACCAACCTAATATATGATCACAACACTGAATATTATGTACATATAACTCAGCAGATGATAATATTGTGGTACAGAGAAATACAGAAAGCATGTTTGGCTAGACTGCTGTGGTTATAAATAGCAAATGTACATAGGGAGCATGGCAGGACAAAAGGATAGGATACTAACAAAATCAAAAGAAGTGATGGGCCTCAATGGTGATGATGAGGAAGATTTGGGGATGTTCCTTGCCCTCCTACATCTCTTCACCTTCTCAGGTGAGCGGCTGACAGCTGAGTGCAGATGAGGAACCATGGTTTTTTATTTGGGAATCAGTCCCCAACTCTGGTTTGCCCTCCAAAGAAGTTGAGCGTGGAAAGGCGATATCTTTCAGGGAGGTAGGCAAAGAGTTTTGGAAAAATGCAAACAAGGTCTGTTTATCTGAAGAGCAATTCCTTTTTATAAGACGGGGATTGGCAAGGACTTTGGATAAAGCAAAAAACCAATTCAGAGATCTAAATTCAGACTTAATACCAAATCATAGTAATCTAGAGTTTGTAGCTCTAGATTACAATTTCAAGTTTCTCAACAACAGATGAACTGTAATATAATTTTGGAGCAGGTTAATCAGAGAATAAATCATAGCATGATTAAGCTAAACAAAATCTATCTCAGGTTTATGAGCAAATGGTGACTCTGGTGAAAATGAAAGGCACAACTTAATTGCATTGTTCATTAAGAAATTCAGCCCCAAGCTGTGCTAAATATGAAGAAATGCAGTCTAACTGTTTCCGCATGTACACAAGTGATGGTAACATTCATTCTACATTAGACGAAACAGTAACAGCATGAAACAACAAAAATTAAGAAGCTTTTGCTTATTGATGAAACACGTCACACAACATGTGCTACTCACATAAGTTTCATTCTCTAAATCGAGTTGAAGTTCATGATCCCCTATCAGATCACCAATTTCATCAAAGAGAAGAGAATCTAGGATGTAAACAATATAAAAAGGACATAAATCATAAACTCCAAATCTTCATAGGGAACAATATTCAAAACCTCTCAATTACCATACTTATTTGAGTCTAATATGCCTTCGAATCAAATCGCACCTTAATTTTCAAAACCTTGAAACCATAAAAAGTATTTGCTGGTGAATGCAATACACAGTGGCAAAAAATGTAGTCTTTGTAATTTAGAACACCAAAGCATCCAGCAATGGAAAAGAAAACCTTGGGATGCATCTATCTATGCTGTAGAATGAATCAATTTTTATTGCCTTGGTTCAATGCAATGGAATCATGGGGGCTGTAGTTTTAATAAGGCCTTAAGCCTCCTCTCACAAAGAGCACGGATGCTTCACTAAACTACAAATCCCAGGAATGCATAGCATTGAGCCATGGCAATTAAAGGACAGATGACGTCCCTTATTAGCACATTTTGCTATCAGCAGCCTCCCCTTTTGTTTTGGCTCAGCAGCACTAAGATTACTGTATTACACAAATCTATTATTATTATTATTATTATTATTAACTTTATTTATTTATTTATTTATTTACAGCATTTGTATCCCGCCCGTATCAGCCCGAAGGCGACATACATCAATAAAAAGCAAAAACATCACAATACATTTAAAAACCATAAAAGCAATGAATAATACAAATTATAAAAACTATATCTTCTTGTTCAAATCCTCCGTTTCATCACCTTAGCTGTTCCTAATTCATTTTCTGATTTGAGTTTTTATATCACTCCTTTCTCCCAGTGGGGACTCAAGATGGCAAACAATCCCACACTTAGTCAAGTTTAAAAAGCACAATACAAAAGCTAAAAAACAATTACATAATAACAGTGTGGTAAAAACTGATTAAAATGTAATAAACACACTTAAAATGGCCTTTAAAACTCAAATGCACGTCCTAATTTTGGTGAGGTTGTTTAGCCAAAAAAAAGGTGAGCATTTGATGTGAGTAAATAGAATAACTTGCATTCATGTTCTCCTTTGGGTCGCAAATAGGATTCTGTGCAAAGGGAGGACGGAGACTAGAGCAATGTTGGTGGAGAACTCAAAGTTAATCTGACAGAGCATGGGCTAGGGCATATTTGAAAGCTTACTCATGACAATGAAGGCAGCAGAGAGGTGTTCTTTGCTTATGTGTTAATAATGCTGAATTGACTTGGTTTTACCTAGCTTTTAACTATGCAGGTGCCAGTCCATGCAGTATCTCATATAGCATTTTAAGGGCATTTCTCACCACTGATATATGTAGCATTTGAATTTATTTATTTGTTTGTTTACAGTACTTATACTGATATGGGAGCCCCCAGTGGCACAGTGGTTAAAGCGCTGAGCTTGTTGATTGAAAGGTCGCAGGTTCAATTCCGGGGAACGGCGTGAGCTTCCACTGTCAGCCCCAGCTTCTGTCAACCTAGCAGTTCGAAAACATGCAAAGGCGGGAAGGTAAGGGCGCTCCATGCAGTCATGCCGGCCACATGACCTTGGAGGTGTCTACGGACAACGCCGGCTCTTCAGCTTAGAAATGGAGATGAGCACCAACCCCCAGAGTCGGATAGGACTGGACTTAATGTCAGGGGAAAACCTTTACCTTTTATAGTGATATATGTAGCTTTGAATTATTTATATATGATGTTAATTGGATATTTCATATTTATTTAATTTCTATGCATTTGTTTGCCTTATATGTGAAAGGCCTATGGTTTAAGCATCAAATAAAACTTATTTATTACTTGTCCGAACGCATCCACCCCTACATCCCACCTCATAATCTAAGATCATCCGGAGAGGCCCTGCTCTTGCTCCCGCCAACAGCACAGATGCGCCTGGCGGGGACGAGAGACAGGGCCTTCTAGGCTGTGGCCCCCCGCCTATGGAACACACTCCCAAATGAGGTAAGATCCGCTCCCACCCTCCTGACTTTTAGAAAAAAATTAAAATCATGGTTTTGGGACCAGGCCTTTGGGCAGTAGAAGTAAATGTATGCAGCATTTCGGAAAGACAGTGACTGGAATGGCGATTCGACGGATGAGACTGTGTTATTGTTTTAATGATTGTTTTATTGCTCATAGATGTATTTTTTAATTTGATTTATGTCTAATTGTAGTGTATAATTGTAATTGTTTGTACTGTCATTGAATTTTTGCCATTACTTATGTGTAAACCGCTTTGAGTCCTCCTCGGGTGAGAAAAGCGGTATAAAAATACTGTAAATAATAATAATAATAATAATAATAAATATGTGAAAGACCTATAGTTTAAGTATCAAATAAAACTTGACATGGCCATACAGCCAGAAAAACTCATAGCAACTCCGCCATACTATTTGGTTCCAGGGCCAGATGCTTTCCAGGAAGAGATCACTAGGGCTGATTTCTGGGGGGGAGGGGCTTCCTCCCTGCTACTTCCGGTGGGTGGGGCTGGCCTAGAGACACATCGCCATAACGAAGTGAAACTGCCTCCCTGGGAAAGACACAGCGCGTTTTTCCCTCTCAATCCTTGGCTTGACTCAACGAGGCCGTTCTGACCTATCAAGCTGGCTCGTGGCGTTTCCTGAGTTTTCTCTCAAGAGCCAACGAAGTCTCTTGAGGGCAAAGGGACTCTTGTGCCGAACTTGGGCGTTCCTTCTCCACCTCTAGGACACCCTCCTCTCGTAAACGCCTCCTTACCCCACTCGGGAAGAGGTTCCCCCGGAGCCCAGTCGACCAAAGGAGCTGCAATCTCCGACGCAGCCATGGCGATCCTGCCTGTTTCCGGGATTGCCGGCTGAGCTAAACACACGTGTACTTCCTGGTCGAGCTCCGCCCCCTGGCTATGAGGTCCGGGAAGGGTCAAAAGAGCTTGAGCCCGCGCGGCACGATAGATGCAGGTTGTAGGCGGGGCTTGCGTCCTCCGTGGCCGGGATTGGGCGAAGACAGGAAAGACAGACAGTTCACTGCAGAGGGGCTGTGCAACCAACACTCTGAGGGCAGAGCTGGTGACAGAACTCCAGCAAGGAAGCCAGCTTTAAAGTGGAGAAACTTTAGAAAAGCCCATTGGTCAGCCGCCCCTTTCCTTTCCTCTTTCCTTTCCACTTTCCTCTTTCCCTTTCCCATTTCCTTTCCTCGTTCCGCTTTCTTTTCCTCTTTCCTTTTTTTCCTTTCCTTTTCCTCTTTCCACTTTCTTTTCCCCTTTCCTTTTTCCTTTTTCGTTTCAGCTTTCCTTTCCTCTTTCCTTTCCTTTTTCCTTGTCTTTCCTCTTTCTTTTTCTCATTCCGCTTTCCTTTCCCCTCTCCTTTCCTTTCTGCTTTCCTTTTCCTTTCATTTCCTTTCCTCTTTCCTTTCCACTTTCCTCTTTCCCTTTCCCAATTCCTTTCCTCGTTCCGCTTTCTTTTTGCCTTTCCTCTTTCCTTTTTCTCTTTTCTTTTCCTCTTTCCACTGTCTTTTCCCCTTTCCTCTTTCCTTTTTCCTCTCAGCTTTCCTTTCCTCTTTCTTTTCCTTGTTCCMCTTTCCTTTCCCCTCTCCTTTCCACTTTCCTTTTCATTTTCCTTTCATTRCCCCTTTCRTCTTTCCCTTTCCCTTTCCCATTTCCTTTCCTCATTCCACTTTCTTTTCCCCTTTCCTCTTTCCTTTTCTTTTACTCTTTCCACTTTCTTTCCCCCTTTCCTTTTTCCTTTCCTTTTTCCTTTCCTCTTTCCTTTCCCCCCCTTATCTTTCCTCTTTCTTTTTTCTCACTCCGCTTTCCTTTCCCCTCTCTTTTCCTTTCCGCTTTCCTTTTCATTTTCCTTTCATTTCCTCTTTCCCCTTTCCTCTTTTCTTTTCCTTTCCCTTTCCCGTCCTTTCCACTTTCCTTTTCATTTTCCTTTTCCTGGTGTAGTGGATTAAATACTGAATATTTAGATYACCATTTTCTAAGAGATCTATGAGAGATATTAGAATCATAGACTCATAGAGTTGGAAGGGACCACATGGGCCATCTAGTCCAACCCCCTGCCTTGCAGGAAAAGCACAATCAAAGTATCTCTGACTGATGGCCATCCATCTTCCACACTCCGGAGGCAGAGAGTTCTACTGCTGAACAGCTCTTACAGTTAGGATGTTCTTCCTAATGTTCAGGTGGACTCTCGTTTCCTGTCATCCTTGTGACAGCCTTTCACATATTTATGCATGGCTAACATGTCTCCTCACAACCTTCTCTTCTGCAGGCTAAACATACCCAGCTCTTTAAGACACTCTTCATAGGGTTCCTAGACCTTAAACATTTTAGTTGCTCTCCTCTGGACACCTTCCAGCTTGTCAATATCTCTTTAAAATTGTGGTGCCCAGAATTGGACACAGTATTCCAGGTGAGGAATAATAATTGCAGGCTAGGGAGGCACCATGATTTCCCTCGATGTAGTCATTATACTCCTTCACATGCAGTCCAAAATCCCATTGTCTTTTTTAGCTGCTGCATCAGACTGTTGGCTCATGCTCAACGGGTTGTCCACTAAGATCTTTTTCACATGAACTGTTGTCAGGGCAGGCATCACCCATTCTGTATCTTTGCATTTCATTTTTTCTGTTTAAGTGGAGTATCTTACATTTGTCCTTGTTGAAATTCATTTTAATTTTGGCCCAGCTCTCTAATCTGTTTAGGTCATTTTGAATTCTGATCCTGTCCTCTGAAGTATTAGCTATCCCTCCTAATTTGGTGTCATCTGCAAACTTGATAAGCATGCCCTCTAAACCTTCATGCAAGTCATTAATAAAGATGTTGACAGGACTGGGCCCAGTAATGAACCCTGCGGCACTCCAGTAATCACTTCTTTCTAGGATGAAGAGGAACTATTGGTGGACACCAGTTACAGATCCACCTAATAGTAGCATTGCCTAGCCCACATTGACTAGTTTGCTTGCAAGAAGGTTATGGGAGACTCTGTCAAAGGCCACAGCCTTCTCTGCATCTACCAAGCTTGTAATTCTATCAAAACAAGAGATAAGATTAATCTGGCATGACTTGTTTTTGAGAAATCTATGTTGACTTTTAGTGATCATTGCATTTGTTCCTAAGTGATTGCAGACTGCTTCCTTAATCATGTTATCCAGAATCTTCCATTGTATTGATATCAGGCTGATTGGATGGTAATTATTTGGATCCTCTTTTTCCTCCTCTTGAAGATAGGGACAACATTTGCCCTTCTCAAGTCATCTGGGACTTTTCCTGTCCTCAAAGAATTATAGAATCATAGAACATAGAATCATAGAGTTGGAAGAGACCTCATGGGCCATTCAGTCCAACCCTCTGCCGAGAAGCAGGAAAATTGCATTCAAAGCACCCCCGACAGATGGTCATCCAGCCTCTGTTTAAAAGCCTCCAAAGAAGGAGACTCCACCACACTCCGGGGCAGAGAGTTCCACTGCCAAACAGCTTTCACAGTCAGAGAACCACTGGCAATTATCAAAGATGTTTGCCTGTGGTTCTTAAATGAGTTCTGCTAGTTCCTTCAATACTCTTGGATGTAGTTCATCTGGTCCTGGAGACTTTAATTCATTTAGAATGGCCAGGTATTCCTGGACTACTTTTAAAATCTATTTTGGGTTGCACTTCCACTATTACTGCATCTACTTCATATTGCTCTTATTATCAGATTTTGCAATATATCCAAAGAAAATGGAAATATTAATTTCTGCCTAAGAATAAAAAATGTACTTACTAGGGAAAACTATTCAAGACATAGCACCTGAGAAGGAAGAAAATGTAATGGCAACCGATGAGGAGCCCATCCCACTCATTCATATTTTCTCCAAGCAAAAGGGTGCAGTTGAGGAGAAGGAAGGGAAGTAAATGTCTGGAGGGGCTGGTAGGGGTTTCGTTCTCCTCTTTTGCACATACATACCTGTCATGCCTTTCCTCTATCCATACCCACCACCTCCTCCATTTCTGGGCTGGTATCTTTCTCTCTCATCCACCCATGTGGCTGGTCCCATTCCCTTTCGTCAGCATCTTGGGCTGAGCTATTTCTTCTCCTCCTTTGATAGTTGCAGCAGCAGCCGCCCCTCTACCATGTATGCAGGGGGGGGAAGCCTTTTGTGACCCCAACATTCGCTTATGTAACCCCATTTGGGCCCCCAACCCTCAGTTTAAGAAGCTTTGATCCAAGCAACTTAAGAAAATATTAGTAGACATCTCCGCTTCGATCAGTAAAGCTGGATGCGACAAATAAATATGGCATTTTTTGTATTCCAATGGCACCCCCGGTGGCACACTGGGTTAATCCGCTGAGCTGCTGAACTTGTTGACTGGAAGGTTGCAGGTTCGAATCTGGGGAGCAGTGTGAGTTTCCGCTGTTAGCCCCAGCTTCTGCCAACCTAGCAGTTCGAAAACATGCAAATGTGAGTAGATCAATAGGTACTGCTCCGGAGGGGCGGTAATGGTGCTCCATGCAGTCATGCTGGCCACATGACCTTGAAGGTGTCTATGGACAACACCGGCACTTCGGCTTAGAAATGGAGATGAGCACCAACCCCCAGAGTTGGACATGACTGGACTTAATGGTAGGGGAAACCTTTACCTTATGTGGTAAAATGTGTGTTACTTGTAGGATTTGGACCCCAACCGTTCAGAACAACCCCCATTTTAACAAAACGACTCCAGATCTGTAATGGGTTTTCATATTTTTATTTACAAATGACATCATTTCAATATTTGTTGCAGTGATATCAGAGAATGATTTGAAGGGGGGATATGACAAATTCTTCTGGCAGAAATAGTAGCGGTCAGGCAATCAAGGAAATGGCCAAGAAAACTTTTTACGGACATGGTTTCAATGTATCCAACATGTAAACAGTGCGAAATCAGATCTTCAGGTACCTAGTAGATAAAAGCCTTTTGGACAGGAATATTCTCCTAGAATGGGACAGAAACATGAACAGAGTTTATGAACAATAGGTTAGAGACTGCTATATTTCTTTAAGATAAAGGGATGTCTATTTTAGCATGAACTTTTGTATTGCATCTAAAAATATTGGTTGATATCCATGAAAGCTCAAGCTAATACAAAAACCAGTTAGTTGTAAAGGTGCGACCACATTCCTTTTTTCCTCCCTCTCCTGTCCTTTTCGAAGAGGCCACAAAGCTACTGGGTGTCCTAATTATTAGTTAAATTATACATTTCTGAACTCAAGAACGGAAAACGGAATGTTGGTGGACAGGAAAAGAGATTTAAAGATGGGCTCAAAGTCAACCTTAAAAACTCGGGCATAGACACTGAGAACTGGGAAGCCCTGGCCCTTGAGCGCTCCAGCTGGAGGTCAGCTGTGACCAGCAGTACTGTAGAATTTGAAGAGGCACGAATGGAGGGTGAAAGAGAGAAACGTGCCAAGAGGAAAGCGCGTCAAGCCAACCCCAACTGAGACCGCTTTCCACCTGGAAACCAATGCCCTCACTGCAGGAGAACATGCAGATCAGGAATAGGACTCCACAGTCACTTACAGACCCACCAGTACACTGATCTTGGAAGACTATTTTACTTGGACAACGAGGGATTGTCTAAGTAAGTAAATTATACAGTACAATAAGAAAAAGAATTTCAGACATGGAGAGAACTACAGGAAACGCCCTCTGGAATGAACATAAAAGCAACACAACTGGCTTACCTTAGGAACCAGAATCAAATGCTGAATTAGAAAACACACCAGGTACTCCCAAATCACTGAAAGACAACAAATACATATATTGGTTATTCTAAAGCTGGGGTAGCAACTAAGTCATAAGAACCATCTCCTGCGAGGCATTTTCCTTCTGATAGCATCTTGAATGTGTCTTAATATACAAAACACAATTCTAACACACACTCCACACCCCCATTGACTGCTAAGAGGCATTTGTAAATGTGGGGAAAGGGGATCCGTTTGTAATTTGTCTATTTCTGCAGTAGTGAATCCTTATTTTGGAAACTGACATAGGATCGAGCAGGAACCTTTAAAGAGGTAAGCATTTGTTTATTGTTTATGATGGTGATGGCATCGTACAGTTCTTGTTGTGAGGCCGCCCTGAGTCCCCCCTCAGGGGTGAGAAGAGCGGGGTATAAATATATGAAATAAATAATAATAATAAATAAAGCAGATAATCTGGAATCAGATCCTGGGATATAGGGCAGTGTAGATTCAGCCTCTGACTCCCCATTCGAGAACATATAAAGGTTAGATACCTGGTATGGCTCAGGAGTGTTTTTCTTTCACCTGTTCAGAGTCAGATTTTCCATTGGATGAAGAATAAGAAAGAGTGTGTGAACGAGAGAGAGAGAGAGAGAGAGAGAGATCAGTTTTGAATGATTAGAACAGGTAAAAATATTGCTGAGAATTTTGACAAAAAGGACAATGCTATGATAGAATTCTGAAAGAACTAAATGCAGACCTTTCATCTCACAATGATCTTACAAGATAGCTTGCTGCAAAAGTGGGCAGCTACAGCTCTCCAAATGTTTCTGGTGTACAACTCCTACCAGCCTTGGCCAGCATAGACACAACCTCATCTGGAATACTGTGTCCTGCTCTGGGCGTCACAATTCAAGGAGGATATTGACAAGCTGGAACGTGCCCAGAGAATGGCTGCTCACCAGGAATTCTCAAAGACAATCCAAATCCTTGAATGACTCTAGTTTAGGCTATATGTGATTCCATCTGAACATGAGGAAGAACTTCCTGACTGTGAGAGCCAATCAGCAGTGGAACTCTCTGCCCTAAAGTGTGGTGGAGGCTCCTTTGGAGCTTTTAAACAGAGGCGGGATGACCATCTGTCAGGGGTGATTTGAATGCAATACTCCTGCTTCTTGGCAGGGGGTTGGATTGGATGGCCCATGAGGTCTCTTCCAACTCTTTGATTCTATGATTCTATGAATTCTTATAGGGCTTGGTTTCCAGACCTCTTACCATGTTGGTCACCATCTCTTAGGGCCCTTCTAGACAGGCCCTATATCCCAGGATCTGATCCCAGGTGTTCTATTTATCCCAGATTATCTGGTAGTGCAGACTCATATAATCCAGGTTAAATAAAAAATATGGGATCAGATCTTGGGATATAGGACCTATCTGGAAGGGCCCTTAGAGTGTCAGGCCATAATATTCTACCTAACCATTTTGAGGACAATCTAACTTATGAAATAGCTATCAGCTATTTCTGTTTTGTAGGGACTTACTAGAGTCAGTTTGTGCATCACATAAAATGACGTGATAGTAGAAAGCTTAACTGTGCTACTCCAAATTGCAAATGAAGAGGAACATCATATTTTTCAGCAACACACTCAAGACACATTGCTTTTAATAAACACATCCAATGAGGTCTACACTAGGCATGTGCAATCCATGGTTCTAAATGGTTCAAAAGTCCTTACAAATCTAAAGTTCTGGTAGTGAAAACTAGGGGCGCTGGTGCTTTGCTTCTACAGTGTTGCTAAAGTTCTGGTGGTGAAAATTTCAGAACTCTAACACAACTTTCAAAATTTCATTATAAATGGCAGTTCCTAATAGGTTCTGTCATAAAAATCACCAATAATGAAATAATAATGAAATTTTGAAAGTTTTTAGAGTTCTGAAATTTTCACCACCAGAACTTTAGCAACACTGTAGAAGCAAAGCACCAGCACCCCCTAGTTTTCACCACCAGAACTTTAGTTTTGTAAGTACTTCCTAATGCCACGACCTTAATACAGTTCCTCATTGTGGTGACCCCCAACCATAAAATTATTTTCATTGCTACTTCCTAACTGTAATTTTGCTTGTGTTGTGAATCATAACGTAAATATCTGATATGCAGGATGTATTCTCATTTACTGGACCAAATTTGACACAAATACCTGATACACCCCAATTTGAATACTGGTGGGCTTGGGGAGGGGGTTGGTTTTTGTCATTTGGGAGTTGTAGTTGATGAGATTTATAGTTAACCTACAATCAAAGAGCATTTTATACTCCACCAACGATGGAATTGAACCAATCTTGGCACACAGAACTCCCATGACTAACATAAAATACTAGAAGGGTTAAATGGGCATTGACCTTGAGTTTTGGAATTGTAGTTCACCTACATCCAGAGAAGACTGTGGACTCAAACAATGATGGATCTGGACCAAATTTGGCACAATCTATATATATATATAAATGCTCTGTGCATAATGAGTTCCTTAAAAACAAAAGAACCAATAAACGAAATCACACCAAATTTGGCAGCAAAACATCTCACAACACAAGGAGTGACCATCACTCAAAAAAGATAATTTTGTCATTTGGGAGTTGTAGTTTCTGGGATTTATAGTTCACCTACAATCAAAGAGAATTCTGAACTCCATCAATGATGAAATTGAACCAAACTTGGCACACAGAACTCCCATGACCAACAGAAAATACTGGAAGGGTTTGGTGGGCATTGACCTTGAGTTTGGGAGCTGTAGTTCACCTACATCCAGAGAGCACTGTGGACTCAAACAATGATGGATCTGGACCAAACTTGGCACAATATTCAATACGTCCAAACATAAACACTGGTGGTCTTTAGGGAAAATAGACCTTGACATTTGGGAGTTGTCGTTGCTTTATAGTTCACCTACAATCAAAGGGCATCCTGAATCTCACAAACAATAGATTTGGGCCAAATTGCCCACACAGAATCTCCATGTTTTCTGGTGGTCTTTGGTGACCCCTCTGACACCCCCTCGCAACCCCTCACGGGGTCCCAACACCCAGGTTGAGAACCACTGATTTAGAACCATGGATTGCACATGCCTAGTCTACACTAAACCTTTATCTCCAAAATAAGGATTTAAAAAACACCGTGCTTTGTTATTTAATTGCTAAACTTTCAAAATTATCACTCAGATTCTGAAACGGTGATGGCCAGGATTTTTCCACCTTCTTCTGCTTGTTATATAAGGGAGGCCATATAGCCTAAGCTGCAAGTAAACAAGATTTCTAAAATAGAGGAGAAATAAAATGTGTGTGGAAAAGAGTGGGTTTCTTTACCTCTTCTGTTGAGACGCTTGATCGCCAAACCTATCAGACCCCCAGACAGAGTGAGGGCAACAAGAGATGCTGCAACACTACCAGTATAGAGCAGAACTTGCTTGAGAAAGGGGCCTTTCGTTTCTGAAATTAATAGTAAAAGCATACATTAGAGACAAAGCAAGTGAATTAATGGTCAGTTAGTGGGTTAAAGCACTGAGCTGCTGAGCTTGTTGATCGAAAGGTCGCAGGTTCGATTCCGGGGAGCGGCGTGAGCTTCCGCTGTCAGCCCTAGCTTCTGCCAACCTAGCAGTTCGAAAACATGCAAATGTGAATAGATCAATAGGTACCACTCAGGTGGGAAGGTAACGGTGCTCCATGCAGTCATGCTGGCCACATGACCTTGGAGGTGTCTACGGACAACGCCGGCTCTTCGGCTTAGAAATGGAGATGAGCACCACACCCCAGAGTCAGACATGACTGGACTTAATGTCAGGGGACAACCTTTACCTTTACCTACCTCTTCTATTCCAGCATTTATTTATTTACTTCCAACATTTCTATCCCGTCCTTCTCCTTGCCGGCTCACAACCGTCCTTGCCGGCTCACAACCGGCAACAATTTGATGCCGCAACGTAAGACAGATATGCTCTTGGCTAGGATGCATTTACATTGTAGAATCCATGCAATTTGACACCACTTTAACTCCTAATGGTATGGAATCATGGGAGCTGTTGTTTTACAAGGTATTTAGCCTTCTCTGTCAAAGAGTACTGGTGATTCAACAAACTACAACTCTCAGGATTACACTCCATTAATTCTACAATGTAGATCAGTGGTTCTCAATCTTCCTAATGCTGCGACCCCTTAATTCAGTTCCTCATGCTGTGGTGACCCCCCCCCAACCATAAAATTATTTTTGTTGCTACTGGTGGGGTTGGGGGGGGGATTGATTTTGAAATTTGGGATTTATAGTTCACCTACAATCAAAGAGCATTCTGAACTCCACCAATGATGGAATTGAACCAAACTTGGCACATAGAACTCCCATGACCAACAGAAAATACTGGAAGGGTTTGGTGGGCATTGTCCTTGAGTTTGGAAGTTGTAGTTCACCTACATCCAGAGAGCACTGTGGACTCAAACAATGATGGATCTGGACCAAACTATGCCCACATGTCAACACTGGTGAAATTTGGGGAAAAACGACTTGACATGTGGGAGTTGTAGTTGCTGGGATTTATTGTTCACCTACAATCAAAGAGCATTCTGAACTCCAGTAACAATGGAATTGAACCAAGCTTGGCACACACAGCTCCCATGCCCAACAGAAAATACTGGAAGGGTTTAGTGGACATTGACCTTGAGTTTGGGAGTTGTAGTTCACCTACATCCAGAGAGCACTGTGGAATCAAACAATGATGGATCTGGACCCAACTTGGCACAAACACTCAGTATGCCCACATGTCAACCCTGGTGGAAGTTGGGGAAAATAGACTTGACATTTGGGAGTTGTAGCTGCTGGGATTTATAGTTCACCTACAATCAAAGAGCACTCTGAACCCCACCGATGGTAGAATTGGGCCAAACTTCCCACACAGAGACCCCCATGACCAACAGAAAATACTGTGTTTTCTGATGGTCTTCGGCGACCCCATTGACACCCCCTCGCGACCCCCCCAGGGGTCCTGACCCCCAGGTTGAGAAACGCTGATGTAGATGCACATTCAGCATTTTGGCTCATTTGACAGTTTCATGCATCCTCATATTTAAAACATCACTATCCAAATAACTTTTGATGCAATTTTAAGGCTTACATCAGCTGGAATTCTCATTGCAGTTTTTTCTTTTTACATGGTTAACTACCAAACCTTGTATCCTGTGACAATGTTTTGAACAAACATAAAGACAATTTTAATACATTGTACTTCTAAATCAGGGGTCCTCAAACTAAGGCCGGCGGGTCGGATGCGGCCCTCCAAAATCATTTACCCGGCCCTCGCTCAAGGTCAACCTAAGTCTGAAATGACTTGAAAGCTCAGAGGAAGCCAGTCACATTTGGTGGGTCAAGAACCCATGCGATTCTTCTTTTTAAAAATACAATGGCATCCGAAATAAGGAATATATTATTTACCTTGACAAAAAGGCATCTCAGCAGACCATCGGGCATCAGACTGGCACTTCACTGTATTTGTTCCATTGAGAATGTAGCCCTCGGCACAGCGAAAGTGACATGCTGATCTATAGCCGAAGGAGCCCAAGGGGTGGGAGCAATTCATTCTCATATTCTTTATATCCCTTGGCTTGGGACACTTTTGGACTATGGAGAAAGGCAGGGGAACAAAAATGAGGAAACATCAAACTGGTTTTACCCACTAAACAGTTTGTACTTGGATACATGGTTTATTACAACTTGAATGACAACTGTATCATTACACTGAATAAACAAGGCAATTATGTCTAATATGTGGAATTCAATAGTCCATTGAGAAATGGTAGTTATGTCCTATGTTTCTACTCATTAGGGCTTGGAATAGTGTATTTAGGAATGCGTATATATATCTATATAAATAAATATGTAATGTTCATTTGTGGGATTAACATAACTCAGAAACCACTCAACGAATTGACACCAAATTTGGACACAGTACACCTATCAGGCCAACGAGTGACCATCACTCATAAAAACACTGAAAAAACACAGGGGAAGGTACTTAAAAAGCCAAAAAAGCAAAAAGACACTACAGCGCATGTGCAAAACGACTCCCCCAGCAAACAAAACACACAATAGCATATCCACATAGCATTTAGGAGAGGAGGATGATCCAAATTCACTGCTTCCAAGCTGCAAGCTTTCTTCTCCTAGGATTTCTTTGAGAGCATCCCAATCTCTGCATAGTTCCAATTTCCTATTCCAGGATTGCAACTCCCAGCAATCCTCCAGATAGATTAGATAAGATAGATAGATTAGATAGAGATAGATAGGTATATAGATAGATTGATCAGGAGGATTGCTGGGAGTTGTAGTCCAAGAATAGGTAGAGAAGGAAGAAAAAGGAGAAAGAGGGAAGGGGAAAAAGGAGGGGGGAGGAAGGGAAGAGGAAGAGAAGGAAGGAGGGAGGGAATGAAAGAAAAAAGGGAAGGAAGAAAAGAGGGAAGGTAGAAAGGAGAGAAAGAAGGGAGGAGAGAAAGAGGGAGGGAAGGTTGGTCACAGCAACGTGTGGTGGGAACAACTAGTGTGTGTGTGTGTCTGGCATAGACACTGAGAACTGGGAAGTCCTGCCTGTGAGTGCTCCAGCTGGAGGTCAGTGGTGACCAGCAGTGCTGCAGAATTTAAAGAGGCACGAATGGAGAAATGTGGCAAGAGGAAGGCAGGTCAAGCGTGAGATGGGCACTTAAGGATGGAATGAGTAGGGGGAAAGCTCTCACACATTCCACTAAGATTTTTTGGTAAATATAAAATAATGCAATCAAGCCAAATGTATCCACCTGTACTGGGTGTCAAAGTAATTATTGTTCTGACCTTCACAGACTGGTTCTGATCCTGTCCATTCTCCCTGAGTCATACAGTTAAGCATCTCCGATCCAACTCGAACAAATCCCACATCACAGGAAAAGGCACAGCTGGAATTGTATGCAAAGTATCCATGAGGATGAGAGCAGTTCAACTGTCCATTCACTGGAGCATGCAGCATTGGGCACATGGAAGCTGGAGGAGAAGATAAACTTTAGGGAAAAGGTCCAGATTTTCTTTACAGGCAAAAGAGTATAAGTGAAGGGGAATATATTCATGAATACTAAGGGACCATGTAATGAAACCACTTTAACTGCCATGGCTCAGTGCTTTGGCATCCTGGAGTTTGTATCTTGGTGAGGTACAAACACCCTTTGGCAGAGAAGGCTAAGGATCTTGGAAAAATGACAATTCCCATGATTCCATGGCATTGAGCTGTAAAACTCCATTCATTCTAGAGTGTAGACACACCACAGTTGGCCAAACAACATCAGAGTGTGGTCAAGACAACAAAAAGATTCATGAGGTAGATCATGCAAGCTAGGAGAAACTCCAGTGATTCAGCTTGCCTGAGCCTACTGAAAAGAACAAGATCCCATCCCCCCTAGTCTTCCTTCCTTTTCAAGTTTTAACTCAGTTTGTAGCAACTGATGTAAACTGAGTGCAAAGAAGGAAAGAGGCAAAAGGCACTGAAAAGGCACCAAAAAAGTGAGAGAACAGAGGATTAATTAATCGGGACTGTCCATACCAAATTGGACACCTGGAGGATACTTGTGAGAAAGACACTAATTTGAGGAATTGCTTCCTCCACTCCCTTTGATGCCCAAACGAGCAAGATTCTACATCTTAAATGCTGGGACTTTCTAGGCTCCTTCCACACAGCCATATATAATCCAAAATATCTGCTTTGAACTGGATTATATGGAAATGTGTTGCTGTTGCAGTTGTTCATTCGTTCAGTCGTTTCCGACTCTTCATGACTTCATGGAGCAGCCCACGCCAGAGCTCCCTGTTGGAGCTTCATGGAGCAGCCCACGCCAGCTCCTTCAAGGTCAATCCAGTCACTTCAAGGATACCATCCATCCATCTTGCCCTTGGTCAGCCCCTCTTCCTTTTTCCTTCCATTTTCCCCAGCATCATTGTCTTCTCTAAGCTTTCCTTTCTTCTCATGATGTGGCCAAAGTACTTCATCTTGGCCTCTACTATTCTTCCCTCCATCAAAATTCATATAACTTTTGCGTGATATTGTTTTATACTCTTGTACCATTTATGTTATATACTATACTTATAGTACCTTGTAAGCCACCCTGAGTCCCTTTTGGGAGATGGTGGCAAGTATTATTATTATTACATTTTGCCCCCAAAACTGCCCTCAAATTAAATATGAGGTTGACTTATACATGAGCATATACAGTACTTTATGTCACCATTTCTGGGATGCACTGACCTTTACAGTGAGGCACTTGTTCAGTCCAGTTTCCTCTAGCCAAGCAATCCAGCACTCCTAATCCAACTAGCTGAAATCCCACACTGCATGAAAAGTTGCAGCTGGAGCCATATGCAAAGTTTGCATGAGGGTGAAGACAGCTGAGATGGCCATTGTCTGGCTTCTGTAGAGCTGGGCATTTGGTTGCTGAAATACAAAAAATAAAGTGCGCAATTACAAATGGCAACAATTCGATGCCTTAACAGTCATAACAATTAAAAATATAGCAATCATAAAATACCATTAAAAACATCAACATACAATATAGAAATATAAAAGCGTACAAGCCTTAAAACATTGTCCAACTACAGGGTATGATTTCCTCTAGCCCCTTCTACACTGCCCTATATCCCAGAATCAGATTTGAGTTTATCTGCTTTAAACTGGATTATATAAGTCTCCACTGCCAGATAACCTGGGATAAGAAGATAATCTGGGATCAGATCCTGGGATATAGGGCAGTGTGGAAGGGGCCTCAGATGATTCAAAAGAGAGTTTCCAGCACTGACCTTCGCAGAAAGGCGGCTCCTCAGTCCATGTTCCTACATCTGAACACTGAAGCTGCTCTGCTCCAATTTGTGTAAACCCGCTATTGCAATAGAAGACACAGCTGGATCTATACATAAAGTCTCCATATGGATGAAAGCAGTTCAGTTGTCCATTCTCAGGGGCATCTAGTTTTTTGCATTCAATAGCTAGAACAAAAGAAAATATGGTTGGGAAAAGGAACTATTTGCAGCAACTTGAGTTCTCTCATCCACTGGAGAGGGTGAGTTCAGGTATGACATGATATATTGTGCATTGCAGGGGGGAAATGGAGCCAGCTATTGTTACTATATGGCAGCCATACTGATGGTAGAACAGAAGCTCTCCGAAGCTCTAGGTGCTCTTACTGCCTACTACAGGGAAAACCAGCTGATCCCTAACCCATCTAAAACACAGACATGTGCCTTTCATCTTAAGAACAGACAAGCATCCCGAGCTCTGAGATCACCTGGGAAGGAATCCCACTGGAGCATTGCAGCGCACCCAAATACCTGGGAGTCACTCTGGACCGTGCCCTGACCTACAAGAAGCACTGCCTGAACATCAAGCAAAAAGTGGGTGCCAGAAACAATATCATACGAAAGCTGACTGGCACAACCTGGGGATCACAACCAGATACAGTGAAGACATCTGCCCTTGCGCTGTGCTACTCTGCTGCTGAGTATGCATGCCCAGTGTGGAACACATCTCACCACACTAAAACAGTGGATGTGGCTCTGAATGAGACATGCCGCATTATCACGGGGTGTCTGCGCCCTACACCACTGGAGAAATTACACTGTCTTAGCCGGTATTGCACCACCTGACATCCGCTGGGAAGTAGCAGCCAATAGTGAAAGGACCAAGGCAGAGAAATCTCCAGTTCATCCCCTGTTTGGGTATCAGCCAGCACATCAATGACTTAAATCAAGAAATAGTTTTCTAAGATCTACAGATACACTCGCTGGAACACCTCAGCAAGCGAGAGTCCAAAAGTGGCAGGCTCAAACCCAGAACCTCAATCAATGGCTGATACCAAATGAGAGACTCCCTGGGCACACAGAAGACTGGGCGACTTGGAAGGCACTGAACAGACTGCGCTCTGGCACCACGAGATGCAGAGCCAACCTTGAGAAATGGGGCTACAAAGTGGAATCCTCGACATGCGAGTGTGGAGAAGAGCCCTGCTACATGCACAATGGAGGACCTTCTTGCAGCAACACTGGAAGCACTCCAAGTGGCCAGATACTGGTCAAAGGACATTTAACCAACTACCAAACTCACAAGTTTTGTATTTGTCTGTTTGTTTGCTTTGTTCTGTTAGAAATGTAATATAATGGACTGGTTGCACTGACACGACAAATAAATAAGCTATACTGAAAATATCATTTCTAAGACCCTGACTCAGCTTACATTCACCACAAATATAGACACAGGAAGGAACTTGTTACAGTAAGTCGTAACAGGATCAATTATGTGTGTGTGTTAAAGAAAACCTTATGCTGTTAATTATTATGTGCAGCTGCTAATGTAGGTCAACTAGTAAGTTTGGACCACACCTGGTGGGTATAACTGTATGGTTTTTAGAATACAGTTCAGCTTTTGCTTTGAGGAGCCTTTGCTCAGGCATTTTGCTCAATCATTTCTATTGCTCTCTCATTTGGATGAAGATGAAGAAGCCTTATTCTGTATTGCTTACAAAAACTATGTAAGTTTGTTGCACTGTTTGTAACATTGCAAGTTTATGTTTTAACTCTGCTGATAAGAGTAAAGTTTTTCTATTCTTTTTCCTCTTGCCTGGGTGCAATTTTATTGTGTCTTCTGCATTGGGCTTGACTGAAATACGCTTAGCGCAACAGAACTTACCATACCTTGACATGTAGGTACTGCAGCACTCCAGTTCCCAGTTGCTAAGCAATGGCTTGCCTGTATTCCAGTCAAATTAAAACCAGGCTCACAGGAAAACTCGCAAGAAGACTGGAAAGCAAACACGTCAACTGGATGAGAGCAAGTCATGCTCCCTTTCTCGGGCCTCTGCAGACTGTGGCACTGTACGGCTGAAGGTGAAAAGTTATATTTTATTAACAAAGAATTTCCAGATTTGGTGACACTTCATCATATTTTTTTTGCCTAGAAATAGTTTCAATTATCTCTTCTGCATGTGAGCTAATAATGGTCTTCATTTATTGATGACTATCCTGGTGCTATTTCTATTGTCAACATTTGTTCTGTCGCCGCTGGGCCTATAGCTAGTTGACTTTAGATATAGGATGTGTAACCTTTACCCAGCGGGAAGCCAGGGGCCCTAGGAAAAGTTCTCAGAGGCTTCCTTTACAAAAGGAATCTTCAAATGGCTTAAAAGGTACAACAAAGTCTTTTATTAATGAATCAAACAGGAATTGTAAAGCTTTCTTGGTAAAGTATCAGTTCTCTCAAACTTGTCCACAGGGAACAGGCACTATCTTCAATAACTTTCTTCAAAGGAAAATTCCCCTTTTTAACTTCTCCCAAGGCTAACTAAAATCCAACCCTCACTGGTGTGGGCTCCTCTGCCAGGCCGAACTGCTTCTTGAAACACTGAGAGGACCTACCAGACAGGCAATGGATGTTCTTTAGAGTTTAAGGCTGTCTTCCTGGAAACTCCCAAGGCTGTAGGAAGGAATCCCTGGAGTTCTTAGGAGACCCTTAAAGCTGTGGGAATGCTTCCCTGGCGTTCTTTCCCTGGAGCTCTTAAAGGTTGAAGCCTTTGTACAGGGGAAGTAAACACATCCTATACATTGGCTAACCTTGCTGTGACTGACTGGAAAAGGCTCCCTTCCCTCCAAAGCCTGGAAAGGGGGCAGAACCAGGGAACCCAATGGCAATTGACAGGTGGCTTGCCCTAAGAATGCAGCCAAAAGAAGCCACCTATCTGCAGAGTCCCTGAAACTTAGAACTATAAACAAACACTCAGTGCAAAGCACAAAATTGGAGCTCCTGGAACAGCTGTTCCAGAACAACATTGACTTTCACATAAGGGTGGTTTCTTTTGGGAAATGGAAATTTCCATAACCTTTTGGAAAATGGTTTTCATAACCTTTTGGGAAAACCAGAAATTTCCCTGAGAAGAGTTACAAACCCGCTTGTGTCAACCTTCTCCTTAGTGGCAAATATCCACTAGTATTTATGTGGGAATTTAGGTTTCTCGGTTGTTAGACTGAAATCCCTAGATATCTCTTTGAACTATCAGGAACAAAGATAAACCAATGCACAAAAACAGCAGAGTTTCAGAAGTGTTCTTTCAGTCGCCCAAAAAACATCTACTCTCCTTTAAAACATCTTGGTTTAAATCAGTGTTTCTCAACCTGGGGGTCGGGACCCCTGAGGGAGTCGCAAGGGGTGTTAAAGGGGTCACCAAAGACCATCAAAAAACACAATATTTTCTGTTGGTCATGGGGTTCTATGTGGGAAGTTTGACCGAATCCTATTGTTGTCGGGATTCAGAATGCTCTTTTATTGTAAGTGAACTATAAATTCCAGTAATTACCAATTCCCAAATGTCAAGGTCTATTTTCCCCAAACTCCACCAGTGTTCACATTTGGGCGTATTGAGTATCCGTGCCAAGTTTGATCTAGATCAATCATTGTTTGAATCCACAGTGCTATCTGGATGCAGATGAACTACAACTCCAAAACTCAAGGTCAATGCCCATCAAACACTTCCAGTATTTTCTCTTGGTCATGGGAGTTCTGTGCGCCAAGTTTTGTTCAATTCCATCATTGGTGGGGTTCAGAATGCTCTTTGATTGTAGGTGAACTATAAATCCCAGTAACTACAACTCCCAAATGACAAAATCAATTCTCCCTCCAACCCCACCAGTATTGAAATTTGGCATATTGGGTAAGGTAAGGTAAAAGTTTTCCCCTGACATTAAGTCCAGTCGTGTCCAAGTCTGGGGGTTGGTGCTCAATTTCTAGGCCGAAGAGCTGGTGTTGTCCATAGACACCTCCAAGGCCGACATGACTGCATGGAGCTCCGTTATTGGGTATTTGTGCCAAATTTGGTCCAGTGAATGAAAATACATCCTGCATTTCAGATATTTTCATTATGATTCATAACAGTAACACAATTACCATTAGGAAGTAGCAACGATAATAATTTTATGGTTGGGGGTCACCACAACATGAGGCGCTGTATTAAGGGGTCGCGGTATTAGGAAGGTTGAGAAACACTGGTTTAAATCATGCTCTCAAGAACCAAAAATAAGTAGACTTGTGTAAAAATAGCATAGTTGTTTACAAACAAACTTAATGTATTCAGCATACAGGTACTTTGCATATCAACCCAGTTACAGATAGATTTGAAGTATTGTCGAAGGCTTTCATGGCTGGAATCACTGGGTTGTTGTAGGTTTTTTCGGGCTATATGGCCATGTTCTAGAAGCATTTTCTCCTGACATTTCGCCTGCATCTATGGCAAGCATCCTCAGAAGTTGTGAGGTCTGAGGATGCTGCCATAGATGCAGGGAAACGTCAGAGAGAATGCTTCTTCTAGACATGGCCATATAGCCCGAAAAACCTACAACAACCCAGATTAGAAGTAGTTTCTTTGTGTAGCTAACACAGGTCATCTTTCTTATAATCAACAGTCCGTAGTCTAAAGCAGTGGTTCCCAGCCTTTGATCATCCAGTTGTTTTGGACTTCAAGTCCAGAAATCCCACTCAGCTTACCAGCTATTAGGAATTGTGGGAGCTGAAGTCCAAAACACCTGGAAGACCAAAGGTTGGGAACCATTGGTCTAAAGCAGTGGTTCTTAACCTGGGGTCCCCAGATGTTTTTGGCCTTCAACTCCCAGAAATCCTAACAGCTGGTAAACTGGCTGGGATTTCTGGGAGTTGTAGACCAAAAACATCTGTGGACCCCAGGTTGAGAACCACTGGTTTAAAGCATCTCTCTGTTCTGAGAGTGTAATAGAGTCTCTGTTCTCTAAACCATTCTGCTTCTGCTGACTTCTAAAAGCATACTGTTTCTAAAATGGAGTCTGAGTTCTGAATAGTCCCAGATCGTATGGTCTGCAGTCCCTTCCACAACATAGAGTTAAGGAAAAATGCATACTAGTACACACATATACAATACAGTAAGCAATCTGAATTATATACATAATAAATTACTAGTGTAGGAGGCTTGTAGAAGGTTGCTGTTTCTCACAGTTTCTTCGTCCACATTTCTACGGCTGTGCACTGAACCCTTTTGTTCCAATTTGTCTAAACTCGGTATTGCAGGAGAAAGCACAAGTGGAGCCATACATGAAATCTCCATACAGATGAGAACACTCCAATTTTCCATTCTTAGGAGCTTCTAGTTTGTTAGTTAGCAGATGCTCTCCACATTTTTACAAAGCTCAGAGGAAGCCAATCACATCTGGTGGATCAAGAACCTATGCAATTCTTCTTTTTTAAATATAATGCCATCCAAAGTAAGGATTATATTTACCTTGACAAAAAGGTATCTCAGCAGACCACTGGGCATCAGGTTGGCACATCATTGTACTTTTTCCATTGAGAATGTAGCCCTCGGCACAGCGGAAGTGACATGCTGATCTATAGCCGAAGGAGCCCAAGGGGTGGGAGCAATTCATCCTCATATTCTCTATATGCCTCGGCTTGGGACACCTTTGGACTGTGGGGAAGAGGCAGGGGAACAAAATTGAGGAAGTATCAAACTGGTTTTACCAACTGGAATAAAAAAATATATTCTGAAGATTCTAAACACGGCACTTTAGTACTTGGATACATGGTTTATTAAAACTTGAATGACAGACAAATGTATGATCACAACATATAAACAAGACAATTATGTCTAAAATGCGGAGTTCAATATTTCATTAAGAAATATTCATTTTGTCCTATGTTTCTACTCAAAAGTAAACATCTTTTGATCCAGCAGGGCTTGGAAAAGTGCATATAAATGTCATAAATAAATAAATAAATAAATAAATGTATCCATCAATATTGGCCATCAAAGTCATTGTTGTTCTGACCTTCACAGACTGGTTCTGATCCTGTCCATTCTCCCTGAGCCATACAGTTAAGCATCTCCGATCCAACTCGAACAAACCCCACATCACAGGAAAAGGCACAGCTGGAATTGTACGCAAAGTATCCATGAGGATGAGAGCAGTTCAACTGTCCATTCTTAGGAGCCTCTAGTTTGGGACATTCAATAGCTAGAATGAGAAAGACAAAAAGACTGATGAAAGAAAGCACTACTCTACCCAAATTTTTCCACCTCCTCAGTTGTATCTACTCATTGTATGCCATATAACATCCAGATTATCTGATTTGAACTGCATTATATGCCAGTGTAGTCTCATATAATCCGGTTCAAAGCAGATAACATGGATTATCTACTTTGATAATCTGAATTATATGACAGTGTAGAAGGGGCCTCCAACATACATTTCAAAGCTCCTTCAGGCCTCACTCTCATGATAATGCCTGATGGTATTCACAGGAGAGACAGAGGGGCCTATAGATATTGTGCCCTATTCTTTCTTCAGAACTAACTAACAATCTGGAGGAAAAGCTAAACAGATAAGAGTAAATAATATAATGAATGAAAGAAAATTGGGACAAAATAATGCTGTCTTTATAACACAGAGACACAAACATTATGAGTTTGACTTGGGGAAAAAGTAAAAAAATGAAAAGATTGGAGAACAGACATCATAAAACCCAAAGAGCAAAAATGGAATTTAAGCACACAAGTATTTATTTATTTACTTCATTTATATACTGCTTTTCTCAGCCCTTAGGCGGCTCAAAGCGGTTAACAACAGCAATTTCAATGCACACATTACAAAACAATTGAAGCATTTAAAAACAATAGCATAACAACAATTAAACATCGATATAACAAATCATTCACGTCTCATCAATAGAATCAGAATCCAATCTCATCATCCGTTATTCCGTGTTCCTTGTAATCAATTACACTGCCTAATCGAATGAATGTTCGAACAACCAGGTCTTCACTTTCCTCCGGAATGCCAATAAGGAGGGGGCTGATCCACAGCCGAGGGGCCACCACTGAGAAGGCCCTGTCTCTCGTCCCCGCCAGGTGTGCTTGTGATGCAGGCGGGACCGAGAGCAGGGCCTCCCCAGACGATCTTAACGTCCTAGCTGGTTCATAGGAGGAGATACGTTCGGACAGGTAAGTCGGGCCAGAACCGTTTAGGGCTTTATAGGCTAAAGCCAGCACTTTGAATTGTGCCCGGTAGCAAATTGGCAGCCAGTGGAGCTGGCGCAACAGAGGAGTTGTATGCTCCCTGAGTGCTGCTCCTGTTAGCATCCTGGCTGCCGAGCGTTGGACCATTTGAAGCAAAAACTGAAATCATAAGAGAGAGAGAGGAAGAGCGAGGCAACTCACACTCAGACTTGACAGTTGAAAAGTGGCACAATTCCTTGATAAATAACTAGCTTGTTAAAGAATTGCACAAGCACACGAAACCACAATGACAATTATCTACTTCTTTTTTCCCAGCGTGGTAGTTTTACGAAGAGATGACAATCAGGGGACAATGAACACAAAGTACAACAATTTACTGGACCAAGATGAAGAAATATTTGGATATAATTAAGAAATCCCTTGTTAATTGTTTTTTGTTTGTCTTCGCTATTCCATGCAACTGCTGCAAAAGTATTCACATGCCATGTGAAGTAAGACACTCTGACAATTAAGCTGCCTTGCAACACAATGCAAAAACATTATCTAGTTCCAGACCAATAAAATGTCCTTACAAAGCATGTTTATGGAGGATCCTATTGTGTAAGGAGCTGTGAGGAACAATAGTGGTTTACTATATCTATCATGCTGAAAAGAATAGCATCTGTTCAATGGATTAGAGTCTGTGGATATGCCCTAATTCAACTATATTTCTTTCTAATATTCTCCAATTTTTTTTCAAGACCTGCTACATGCAACATATAATTGTCCTTCTTTAGGGATCCCTTTCAAAACTATGATATTATATCTGTGTGTGTGAATCATATATGGTGAAGTATTTTCTGTTGGTCATGGGGGTTCTGTGTGGAAAGTTTGCCCCAATTCTATCGTTTGTGGGGTTTAGAATGCTCTTTGATTGTAGGTGAGCTATAAATCTCAATAACTACAACTCCCAAATGTCAAGGTCTATTTCCTCCAAACTCCATCTGTGTTCATATTTGGACATATTGGGTATTTGTGTCAAGTTTGGTCCAGATCCATCAGAGCCCTCTGGATGTAGGGGAACTACAACTCCCAAACTCAAGGTCAATGCCCACCAAACCCTTCTAGCATTAACTGGGGCTTATTCTTTTTGGTAGGACTTATGATATGAGCATCCTGAAAAATCATGCTAGGGCTTAATTTCCAGTTAGGTCTTATTTTCAGGAAAACAGGGTATAACCATTTGTAAGCAGCACTCACAGAGGTTCCTTTCTTCTCTTTTTGTCTACCTCAAAACTCAGTGCAAAACCTCCAGCAGTAAAGACATCCATCTTCAATGTTTTACATCACTAATTCTTGTGAATGTATGTATCTGACAAGAGGGAGGAGTAAGAAAAGGACAAAACCTTGGCAAACCGGGGTTGCATTTGTCCATTGTCCACGTGCTGTGCACAAAATCATCCCTTCTCCAAGTAAAGAAAATCCTTCATCACAGTTGAAAGTGCAGTTGGACTGGTACTGAAATTCCCCATGAATATGGAAGCAGCTGCTATTTCCGTGAGCAAGAGCCTGCAGGGGCTGGCATTGAACACCTAGAGAGAAAGCAGGGTGGCGACAGACAGCAGTTAAGATAGTGGAAATGTTTTGAGATAGATGTTTAACTTCCCGTAGTATGTACTGACTGGCTGTGTGCAGTAGATCCATCTTGACCACTGGAAACCCATGTGGACATGTGGCTTGGAGTACACTATGTAACACGATTTTTATTCCTGTGTTATAAATGTCATTTTCTAATTACAGTGGAGTCTAGCTTATCCAACCTTTGCTCTTCTAATGTTCTGTATTATCCAACACAGTCTCCCTCCTGCCTGGATCCAATACTGTTTCAATACTTTGCAATTTTTTGATGCTAAATTCGTAAATATTGTAATTATTACATGACGTTACCGTGTATTGAACTGCTTTTTTTGTTCATTTGTTGTAAAACATACTTAATTGGTACTTAATTTATAAAATCATAATGTAATTTGACATTTCATAGGCTTTTTGACATTTAACATTGGGAATTTTTTGACATTGGGAAGTCTGACTTGGCCGTTGTGGCCCACACTCTGGTTACATCCCGAATAGATTACTACAATGCTGTCTATGTGGGGCTGCCTTTGAAGACTTCTCGGAAGCTCCAATTAGTCCAGCGGTCGGCAGCCAGGTTGTTAACTGGAGCTGCGTACCACTCCTCTGTTGTGCCAGCTCCACTGGCTGCCGATTAGCTTACGGGCACAATTCAAAGTGCTGGTTTTAACCTTTAAAGTCCTGAACGGTTCTGGCCCAGATTACCTGTCCGAACGTATCTCCTGCTATGAACCATCGCGAAGCTTAAGTCATCAGGAGAGGTCCTGCTCTCTATCCCACCACTCTCACAAACACGGTTGGTGGGGACGAGAGACAGGGCCTTCTTGGTAGTGGCCCCCCGTCTGTGGAACTCTCTCCCTAAGGACATCAGGTTGGCCACCTCCCTCCTGTCCTTTAGAAGACAACTGAAGACATGGCTCTGGGGTCAGGAGTTCGATTAGAGGCCAGCGGCAATAGGAAAAGGAAATTTGGATTTTGCGACATGGATTCTCCCGGCTCGGCTTGGTTTTTACTGGCACATTAATATAATAATTTATTGTTAAATTTTACTGATGTTTTAAAATGATTTTATTGTGAATTGTAATTTTTATGGTATTTATGCTGTTAGCATCCTCTGGTGCTCATGTGAGGCCGCACTGAGTCCCCCTTGTGGGGAGAAGGGCGGGATATAAATATATGAAATAAATAAATAAAATAAATAATAGGCATTTCCTTAATCCCTCCTTATTATCCACCATTTTCACTTATCCAATGGTCTGCCGGCCCATTTATATTGGATAAGCAAAACTCTACTGTAGCTCTATCATAAAAACAGGGAGAAATGTTTGTTAAACATGGAAAAGTGTATTAAACATGGAAAGTGTATTAAACTGCAAAAACTTTGTTTTTGTGGGACATCCTGCAGCACATTTTGCTCTATTTTTTAAAGGAATATATTGTAGAGTCCCAACCAATTCAATATAGTTTGTGGCAGTCACAAAAACAAAGTTTCTGGAGTTTAACAACTACTTTCAAAATAAGTATTGTGCAATTAAACAGGAAATAACACTTTCAAACCAGGAACAGAACATTGTTTTCAAATTTTGTTACATAGTATGACTAGAGATCAGCTTCAACTATGGCTTTTTGTGGACAGTGATCATTTACCCTGGGACTTGGAACTTCCTGATCAGACATTGATTTATTGTTTGAATTGATTGATTTCTATACTGACTTTCTCTTGAGATGTTCTGGAATGAGTCCAAAATTGTACCTAGTACAAATTGATGCAACCAGGCCCGTAGCCAGGATTTTGATTTGGGAGGGGGGGGCTGAGTTTGATTTGGGGGGCTGAGTTTGATTCGTGGGGGAGGGGCTCAAGATCTACCCTAGCAAACCTTTTGTATCATTGTCCCAATACCCCCATGCATATGGGATATATTGAGCATGGTGATCACATCATGATATGAATAAACATAACAGTTTAAATAATGTACCAGTAAGGCCTTCTCGCTGACCACCCTGAGAATTTGGGGGGGGGCTGAAGCTCCTCAAGCCCCCCCCCCCCCCAGCTACGGGCCTGGACATAACTAAATTGCTGATCAGCAGCCACTTACATAGCTGCTGACGCAAACCTTGGAGTTCGGTGAACAAGAGACCATGTATGGCTGGCATTTTTTTGGTACTAGCTATAGGACTGAAAAAAGCTTGAGATATCCTTCTTTGAGTCCCACCACTGGGTATGAGGTTGGGGGAGTAGGACTTCTATTGTTTATCGAATGCCTGCTCCACATAGATCTGCTGTTGTTGCCTTCATTTTGATCTCATATTCAATGTGGCTTTTAGTTAAACATTTGGGGACTATTGGATTTATTCTTCTTGTACTAACTTAGGCGTTAAAAAAACTATCATAACTTGCTAAACTATATTTTCTTTATAAGTAAAAGTAAAGGTTTCCCCTCGACATTAAGTCCAGTTGTGTCCGACACTGGGGTTGGTGCTTATCTCCGTTTCTAAGCTGAAGAGCCGGCATTGTCTGTAGACACCTCCAAGGTCATGTGGCCAGCAAGACTGCATGAAGCACTGTTACCTTCCCGCCAAAGTGAAGCCTATTGATCTACTCACATTTCCATGTTTTCGAATTGCTAATATCTATATAAATAAAAATGTAATGTTCGTTTGTGGTATTCACAGAACTCAAAAACCACTGGACGAATTGACGCCAAATTTGGACACAAGACACCTAACAACCCAATGTATGTCCTTCACTAAAAAAAAAAAAGATTTTGTCATTTGGAAGTTGTAGATGTTGGGATGTATAGTTCACCTACAATCAAAGCGTATTCTGAACCCCACAAACGATGGAATTGAACCAAACTTGGCATATAGTTCTCCCATGACCAACAGAAAATACTGGAAGGGTTTGGAGGGGAGTGTCCTTTGGTTTTGGAGCTGTAGTTCACCTACATCCAGAGACCACTGTGGACTCAAACAATGATGGATCGGGACCAATCTCTACACAAATACTCAATATGCCCAAATGTGAACACTGGTGGATTTGGGGGGAAATAGAATCTTGACATTTGGGAGTTGTAGTTGCTGGGATTTATAGTTCACCTACAATCACAGAGCATTCTGAACCCGGCCAATGATAGAATTGGGCCAAACCTCCCACACAGAACCCCCATGTGGGCCACAGCAACGCGTGGCAGGGGACGGCTAGTAATAATATAAAAATGCTTGTTGTTTATACTTAATACGACATTCAAGTTGTTTTACATCATTTAATTTATTGCATGCTACCATTATATCTGATATTCTTATATATATATATATATATATATATATATATATATATATATATATTAAAGGAAGTAGATTCACTTCAAATCTGGCATAAATCTAGTGCTGAGAAAACGTATTTGTGAAAGAGTAATATATAAATGAATGGATCAAACAGCCAATTCAGGTGTCCAATTTCCCATAAGGCACACACAATTCCATGTTTATATTGTACCTTGACAGAAGGGTACATGGGAGCTCCACTGGCCAGCTGCATTGCAATGCAAAGTCTTGGAGCCATTGAGCTGAAAGCCATCTTCACAAGAAAAATCACACGTGGAGTTGTAAGCAAAGTCACCAATTGGGTTTACACAATCCATGGTTCCTCTTCTGGGTGACTCAATTTCCTGACATTGCTTAACTGGAAATATAATAAGAAAGAGTAGTGTAAAAGTTAGAAAGGATGTGAGCAAACCCCCCAAAATTTCCACAGAGCAGAAGTTGGTTATTTTATACCTAACTTCAAGGATTACTCTCCCACAATTCCTATTCCCCCCCCCCCCCATAAATTAGGTATTTTCCTGACAGTAAGGGCTGTTTCTGTGAAATATACTGCCTCAGAGTATGGTAGAGTCTCCTTCTCTTGAGCAAAGGCTGGATGGCCATCTGTCAGGAGTGTTTTTTCCTGTATGGAGGAGGGTTTGACTAGATGCTCCTTGTGGTATCTTCCAACTTTATGATTCCACAATTCTCCCCAATAGTCAAGAGCCAGTCACTTCCCAACACTGACTTAGCAAATTTAGGGAATTGTTTCAGTAGATACAAAGGAATATCTTCCAGATTAAATTATTATATTTACGCTGGAATTCAGTGCAAACTTAAATGGGAATATTGCTCTCTGAACTCATGAGGTCTTCCTTCTGAATGCACAAAGAGAATTGCACAGTTAAATTTAAATTTTTTAATTGCCTTGAACAGGCAGGATTACTTTTAATATATGTGTGTTATGGCGACAATTTTTATGCTTATATTTTGTTTTGTTAATCTTATGGTTATGTTGTTTTTACTTTGTATGTTTTGTGATGTTACCTGGGAACCGCTCTGAGTCCCCTCGGGGAGATGGAGCGGTAAATAAATAAATAAATAAATAAATAAATTATTATTATTATTAAATGGGCACCAATATTCACTTTCTCTCTGAAACATATACTGTATACCTTAACTTCTATTTGTTGACATCCTTTCACTCTCCAGTTCCTAATACACAGCAATTAAACAACTGAGACCCCATCTACACTGCTATATAAAATCCAGATTATCTGCTTTGGATTATCTGCCATATAATCCAGTTCAAAACAGATAATAAGGATTTTATATGGCAGTGTAGATGGGACCTAAAAGTTTCTGCCTCACTTTATCACTAAAAAAAAATCTTAATTTCTAGTGAAGGCGATGGAACAAGGCATCTAATCAAAACAACCAATTCAATATGCTTTGAAAAAGTTGTTTGAGATGCATTGTCAAAGGCTTTCATGGCAGGAATCACTGGGTTGTTGTAGGTTTTTTTGGGCTATATGGCCATGTTCTAGAAGCATTCTCTCCTGACATTTCCTGCATCTGAGGATGCCTGCCATAGATTGCAGGCAAAACGTCAGGAGAGAATGCTTCTAGAACAGTGGTTCTCAACCTTCATAATGCCACGACCCCTTCCTCACATGTCTGCATGTTGTGGTGACCCTCAACCATAAAATTATTTTCCTTCCTACTTCATAACTGTCATTTTGCTACTGTTATGAATCATCATGTAAATATCTGATATTCAGGATGTATTTTAATTCACTGAACCAAATTTGGCACAAATACCAAATACACCCAATTTGAATACTGGTGGGATTAGGGGGAATTGATGCTATCATTTGGGAGTTGTAGTTGCTGAGATTTATAGTTCATCTGCCATCAAAGAGCATTCTGAACTCCACCAATGATGGAATTGAACTAAATTGGCACACAGAACTCCCATGCCAACAGGAAAATACTGGAAACGTTTGGTGGGCATTGACCTCGTTTTGGAGTTGTAGTTCACCTACATCCAGAGAGCACTGTGGACTCAAACAATGATGGATCTGGACCAAACTTGGCATGGATACTCACTATGCCCAAATGTGAACATAGAAAAGGTTTGGGGAAAATAGACCTTGACATTTGGCAGTTGGGCCAAACTTCCCACACAGATCCCCCTTGACCAACAGAAAATACTGTGTTTTCTGATAATCTTTGGTGACCCCCCTGACACCTCCTCACGACCCCCCAGGGGTCCAGACTCCCAGATTGAGAAACGCTGTTCTAGATGCATGGTATACGGTAGACTCCTGCAGAGGTGAGAGGATCCCTCTTGTCCTTTGCTGAACATTGAAATCCACAAGCATGTGGACAATTTCAACAGAAAGGAAGAGACCATGAAAATGAACAAAATCTGGCTACCAGTATTAAAAAACTCTAAAATTACAACAGCAAAACAACAGAGAGGAAAAAACCAGGCACAGATTAACACCTCCCAGCAAGAGATTTTCCCAGGCTCAGGCAGGCCTTCAAATGCTAATGAAGGTGATCAGCTGAAACATTCACACCTAACTGCAGCAGGGAAGAGCTCCTTGCCCCACCCCAGCCATTCCACAGATATATAAACCCATTGTCCTAATTACAACAGACCTCACTACCTCTGAGGATGCTTGCCATAGATGCAGGCGAAACGTCAGGAGAAATGCCTCTAGAACATGGCTCTATAGCCCGAAAAAAACCCACAAGAACCTAATGTTAACCTCAATCACATGCATTTAAGTGCATAGGTTAACAGCAATTTTCAAATACTTCTGTTATTAACCTTTGTCTGCAAACAATGGGTGGAGACCTCTGCCTTATTCACTAGACCTCTTAAATGCTACTGATGCCTGAGAGGTGGATGTTGAAATGCAATTTAGGAAGAAGGAAACGTTGAACCTTGGCATGTTGGTGCGGGGGAACTCCATTCTCCAGATTTTTTACACATGATGTTCTCTGCTCCGCTGATTGCAAATCCCTCAGCACATTTAAAGTTGCAGGTAGACTGATACTGAAACTCCCCATACACATGGGAGCAGTTGAAGTCGCCATGATCAGGAATTTTTAGCGGCTTGCACTGAACAGCTGAGAAAGAGAAAAGGAAGTTGTGGATTTGGCAGGCCACCTACAATGACCACTTAATGCACTTCAAAGCCGGTTCTGAAGAAAGTGGTTATGCTGTACAGCTGATTGCACAGGAAATCCTGATACGAGTTTGAGGGCCGGATGGTGATGACACCAAATCACAGAGTGCTAATATTACATAGTGCTATTGATGAACGGGAAACAAACTTTCCCCCTTAAAATGTAGTTTCAATGTGAATTTCTTTTTCTCCGATCTTCCCTTTTTTGCCATGTTTGGCAAATTCTGTTTTAAGAGCCATAGAAAAATTGTATGCATCGTTGTGTGCACATGTGTATTATATATACATTTTCACTAATATGTGTATTTTATCCCCATTTACATGCATTTTAGACACTTTTTCAGATTAGAGAACTGTTAACACATTGGTGTGAAAATTGAACAAATTTCATCCCTTCTTATTCAATATCTACTTAAACCATGTCTCCTGCAACAAATGCTAAATCCTGTTTTCCTAGAATGGAGGCATTCCTCAATTCAAAACGAAGCCCGGATTCCAGAGGAAAGTGATAACCCTTGGCTCAGAGCGTCATTTCCTAGTTCCTGGGCATTGGAAAATGCCCAGATCTGCCGACACCTGCCATAAGTCATGAGCGCACATACCTATGCATTGTGGTATCTCAGCAGTCCAGTTGCCAGAGGGCAAGCATTGCAAGGTGGCCAGGCCACTCAATTCAAGTCCTTCTTCACAACTGAAAGCACAGCTGGATCTATAACTGAAATCGCCCAGAGGATGGTTGCAGTTCATGCGCAGTGGCTTGTGAATAGCACTAAGGTCCCTGCATTTCACAACTAAATGGAAATATAAAAGTTATGCCATCATTTTGCAAATAAACATTTTTCAAGCCTCACCCACCCCTCTCCAAAAAGATGCTCAAGTTATTTTCTTCACAGGATTTTGGTTGAATTCAAGTGCTTGTGATCTTTATTCTTGTGGACTTAAAATGCCAACCATTTCTGGTCCTGCGTTTGTTTGGAAGCATCATGATAACCACTTTATATTTCATGTTTTCCAAAATGTGGCCTAATCCACTCAAAACAACAACAGCCCAGTTAAAATGGTGGCAAAGAAGATTACTTTATTAAATGTGCCATTTAGAATTGCCAGCGCTGCAGCTTGCACTGCAAAAAGCTGCTAAAAATGACCTGTATACCAGCCATGATCACATTCTAATTTGTGCATGTTTACTTCGAAGACCCACTTAAAGTACAGTCCCATAACATGTATCTGAAACTGTTTTAAAATAATATATTAGCTGTTTATTTTTTTTCACGTGTGCAGCAGATAGTTTTAGCTATTGCATTCTAACCAACGGTGCAAGCTGCTTTACCACCCATACTGGAAGAGAAGTAGGCCATTAAATTTAACAAACATCAGAATAAATAAATAAATCCCATTAAATTCAGAAGAATTTCCTTACAAGATGATTGAGTTAAAAGAAGCAATCCAAATAGTGAAGTCGAACATGACCCCCCCCCCCCATAAGAGATAGTAACTTATAGTTTTGCTAAGGGCAAGGACGCCAGGCTGGATAATAAGGGTTAAGCCTTGGTCAGTTTGGTGTGTATCATTTAATCAAGGCTTTATGCTCTATTTTCATATGTTTACAGCAGAAAGTAACCAATTTATTACTGAAAATCATGCCACAAAAGTATTTGAATTTTTCCATCTGAGGCACACCTGGGCTCCTGACATCTCACAAACAAGGGACTCTCTTTCCCCCTCATGAACTTTTCCCTTTATGGACTATGGACTTATGATATATTTTCATGATTTTCCTTGTGGCTGAGGTTTCCTCCTTGACCTTTTTCTCCCCTTTCCCTATGATGAAATCCCACCAGGAAGTGCCCCCGATACTGAAAGAGTGCAGAGCCTAAATCAATCACAAAGAACTCTTATCAACAAATATTTTGCATGGACAGAAACAAAGGCGACATGATTGCCCTTGGAGTTTCGCCCAGCAGGGAAATCACCTCTTGGCAGACTTTTGATTACTTTTCTAATTGGAGATGGGGGGCACCTTCGAAAAGCATCCCCCTTTCCGCCCTGTTGCCCCATTCAATCATTCATCAAAAACTTCACCCAGTATTGCCCCTTTTGTCCTTCTGTTTTGCCGCCACAGAAAGCCCGGATTTTCCTGTTTGTATTCAATTATCACCATTCATGAATCAATAGAACTGCTTGATTAGAAGGCCCTTCCTGGGACTCATTAAGCCGCTGGCATTTCCTTACTTCATAATCCATTCAAGTATCCATTGTTTTTCCCTCGTCCCGCCTCCCTCCCTCCTGATTCGTCGAGACGCCAAAGCAGTAGAAGCCTTTTCATTGGTCCTGACGCACGGCAGCGGCTCCCTGATTGGTCCAGATGCACCGGGGGTGGATGAGCCCTCTCCCAGCTGTTGGCACGTCAGCCAATCAAGACAAAGACCGGCCAGGGGGCGGGCGCAGAAGATTTGAACCATACAACTTTGTATTTCTATAAAAATAGCATTTATTTCTGTAACCACATGCTCTGCTTGGCGAATGATTGCTGCATTGCATCCTTTTCAGCTGAATCGCAAATAAAACATCTCGGTGGCGCTTCCTTCAACTTGGTGAGACCTTTTATTGGGAAAAATCAGGGTTTGGGTGCTTCTCTCTGTCTCGCCAGAGTAACGAACTCTTTAAAGAGTCTGATTGGTCTCTACCTCCTGGCAAAGACCCCTAAATTCATGCTCTATAACAATTGGAGCCCTTAGTCAGACTAACGACACTACTTGGAGAGAAGAGAACTTTATTTCCTTTCCTTCACTGGGCTCCTTACAGCATTCCTGTAATTCATAACGAGAGCAAAATTCTGATGTGTTCCAAACTCACCATATTCGCACTCAGGCCCAAAGTAGCCAGGATAACATTGACAGGTGTGGTTACCAATGGTCTCCACACACTCGCTCCGTTCATTGCAGGAAGAAGGGTGACAAGAGGCTATAAGGGAAAAAAGACAGAACCGTCCATTACAAAAACTGTCACAGCATCTTCTGAGCCTCTCCTGAATCTGCTTAAAATTATTTTTGATCCTGATCAACCCCTGGCAAGCCACATTAGTGAGTTTTTCACAGAATCACAGAGTTGGAAGAGACCTCTGTTGCCTCCTCAATCGTGGGGCCCAAGCAGTGACAAGGAGGAGGAATAGGAACGTAAAGAGGGCGAGCGGGAAAGAAGATCCCCTTCCCAGAGGGAAGAAGAAGCTTTGGCAAGAGGCCCAGGTGGCAACAAGGTGCCTCTCTCTCACACACACTCAGTGTTCCCTTGCTACTTAAATTCTTTTAAAAAACAACAACCGTGAAACAGCAAGGCTACGATAAGTGAACCGCAAAGTAGCGGGGGACCACTGTACATGTGTTTCAAAGGAGTTAGGTCAATTAAATTCACCTAGATTTTCTTCTGAATTTAAATTTCAGGCAGCTCTAAGACAAAAAACCCCCCGCAAAATATGGAAAATTTAATTACCTTGATAGCATAATGCTCGCTTTTTCTTAGTACAAGGTTCATCATTCCACTTTCCAGCCTCCCGGTCTCTCTTGATGTAAATCTCAACACAATCCTGGTTGTCTCTTCTGTTGTTAGGCTCTCGATAAGCCCAGTTTTCTGCCTCTTTGGTCAGCTTCTTGTTGGTTCCCACCCAGGTCCAAGTGTTGTTAATCTTCCGGATCCCAATCCAGTAGTATTTTTTATAGAAAGGGACGACAGCATTTAGATAGGCAATTTCTTCTTGGTTTTGGATTGCTACCAAGTCAGTAAACCAGGTCTGGCAAAAAACCCTTGCCTCTTTCCAAGTCAGATCTGATTTATCTCCATAATGGTACGTCCAGGCATCCACACCCACGGGAAACAAGAGCCCTGCCAGAACAACAAGCAAAATAAGACCAATATTATCTCAACTTACCAACAGATATTAATACCACTGTATCACTGTTATTTCAGCCATCATTTAATTACAATTTACCCTTCAATCGTGTGCAACAGAATATTGTAACCTTACACAGAAAAGGAAGAATTTCCACTTTAATAACAGTTGAAGCTTTCTGATTCTAAAAGATTTATGACAGGCAGGAATTCATTGGGAGAAGCTTTTCCACCAGTGTTTCCACTGGAACTGTGAAAAGCACAGAGTCCCTTCTTGTCCATTAAGACATTCACAGAATAATTGAATCATAGAATAATAAAGTTGGAAGAGACGACATGGGCCATCTAGTCCAACCCTCTGCCACAAACTATGTTGAACGGTATATTGCCGAAGGCTTTCATAGCCGGAATCATTGGGTTGTTGTAGATTTTTCGGACTGTATGGCCATGTTCTAGAAGCATTCTCTCCTGACGTTTCGCCTGCATCTATGGCAAGCATCCTCACATGAGGATGCCTGCCATAGATGCAGGAAAAACGTCAGGAGAGAATGCTACTAGAATATGGCCATACAGCCTGAAAAATCTACAACAACCCTATGTTGAACTGGTTGGGATTCTACAAGATATTATTTGAAAAACTATAGCAAAATGTGCTGCAGGATATTCCACCAAAACAAAGTATTTGCAGTTTAATAAACTTTTCTCATGTTTTATGATAGAACCAATTAGGAAATGGCATTTATAACCCAGGAACAAAAATTGTGTTACATAGTGTTATGGGAGCTCTGCAGGCTGGGAGGCTCTGGGAGTTGTGCTTCTGAAAACTAACTTTTCCAATCTTTGCTGCTTCCAAAGGAGGCTCATCTATCCATTACACTTGACTACATGTTGAATTCATTGTTGTCTTCACCATTTTTATCTGCATATTCCTAATATCAAACTGCAGTATCGGCTTTTGACTGCAACTGTCCGCTCTCCCAAAGGTGACGGGTATAATCTCCCCGAAACCTGAGTCAAATTACATTTTAGGTCTTTTAAAAATGCCTAGCTATCCTTGAATATGAACACTTTCAATTCATTCTTTTTAACTGTGCGTCAGTTTATATCCTGCCTCTCCCATGTCACAGATGAAAACTGAAACATTTTTGAAAGAGCTGAAAAAGTGGATGGCAGAGCATTGATTGAGACAATTCCTGACAAATCAGAAAGGTTGGAGAGTATGTAAGATCAGCCTTGTGGAACTCTTTCCTCCTTACAAAATTCACTTTTTTCTTTCTGAAAATTCAGATCTCTAAAACTGGATTTGGCAGAAGATGGGATGTTGCAGTTCAAAAGGAGATGATTCCACCCATTTCTTCTGGATTGTAGCTGATGTCCAACTCTTGTATTGCCTTAAATAAATGATTGCTTCTTAAATATTTTTAAATCAAATATTTTGTAATCAGACAACCCAAAATCTTTAAAATCCGTGACAATTTTTTTTATTCCAAAAGGAATAAAATAGTTTTGACAGCCATATTTTCTATTAGAACAGTAAGATTGTTGTTGAGCAAAGTATCAGTGCTGCCAAATGCTGAAATATGTGTTTTTAATGCAGTGGTTCCCAACCTTTTTTTGACCAGGGACCACTTGACCATGAACCAATTAACCAGTGACCACTCTCCAACCTTAGTACCAAAAGGGTTACAAATCTGTTTTTGGTCAAATTGAGATTCAGTTTGGTTATTTGGGGTGCTGATTCAGAACATTGCATTGGATAGATCATATCAGCTCTAGTTTCTGAATCAGAACATATGCCATTCAATAGTTGCCATCTGTTCGCCCAAAGAAAACCATATTTAATAAGCCTCAGCAGTATAGGAGGGTTTTGCGAGACCAATTACTCTTGTTGCAATAGTGTAGTTACAGTAAGACTGTAGACCATATTTTAGTTTTTGAAGACCACTGGTGGTCCACAGACCACTGGTTGGGAACCACTGTTTTAATGCAATCACCACTAAAATGTCTCACTCTTCATGTGGTGTCAGTAGCAGAATCAAAGATGTTTCTGGCTATACATTTTTCTTTTACCTTTCCAATGTTGTGTCATATTGTTCCATGTCAAGATGAATTTGAAATCAGTATGACAGTTGTTCGGGTTAAATGTAACAAACGCTTACCCCATGCGATGACAGCTAACAGCACTATGCGTTCATCTGTCTGTCTATCCTGGAATCCTCCACTGGCCTCACCTGTTGGCTGAAAAATAAAGATTGCAGTTCAAGAATCATGTTCCCAAATTGTCTGCTTAGACCTTAGTCTCTATATCCCTCCCCAGGGATATAAGATAGGTTCCCTCCCTTCTAACATTCCGCAAAATGGTTAAGACCTGGGTCTTTGAGCAAGCTTTTTCTACTGGAGCATAATTAGACGTAAGCGAATATATGGAATGACTGACAATGCAATTGGACAACCATTTTAGTAAGGAGACTCCAAGGTTCTTTACAGATATATTTGCTCTTTATATTACATTTTAAATGTTTAATTGTTTTTATAATTGTTTTAACTGTATTTTGAGCCAACAATGTGATGTGGCAGCAAAAAAAGCCAATGGGATTTTGGCCTGCATCAATAGGAGCATAGTGTCTAGATCTAAGGAAGTAATGCTACTCCTCTATTCTGCTTTGGTTAGACCACATCTGGAATATTGTGTCCAATTCTGGGCACCACAATTCAAGAGAGATATTGACAAGCTGGAATGTGTCCAGAGGAGGGCGACTAAAATGATCAAGGGTCTGGAGAACAAGCCCTATGAGGAGCGGCTTAAGGAGCTGGACATGTTTAGCCTGAAGAAGAGAAGGCTGAGAGGAGATATGATAGCCATATTATAGTTCATATTTTTTATTCTTTTGAGAATATGGCTATAAACAGCATCCTGCTTCTTGGCAGGGGGTTGGACTGGATGGCCCATGAGGTCTCTTCCAACTCTTTGATTCTATGATTCTATGATTTTGATATTTGTTATGGCATTGAATTGCTGCCAACTGTGAACTGCCTTGAGTTGCCCCTGGCTGAGGAAGGTGGTATACAAATGCAGTAAATAAATAAATACCCTTCTACATAGCCATATAAAATCCAGATTATCTGCTTTGAACTGGATTATATGACAGTGTGGACTCATGTAATCCAGTTCAGAGCAGATAATCTGGATTATATAGCAGTGTAGAAGGGGCCTGAGTCCAATTAATTATTTAAGCACATCTTTAATGCCTTATTACTGTAATGAAAAGACCACTAACATAATGGCAAATGCTGAAGTTCCAGTCTTCATCATGATGCTCTTTATAGCCATATACTCAAAAGAATAAAAAATATGAACACAACTGCTTTAATATCTAACAAGAAATTTGTCCTACCAGTTTTCTTCTTTACCAACAGAAGAAAACTCTAACCACTCTACATTATCTTGCAATATAAGAAGAATAGTTGAAGAATTGCATTTTCTCTCTAGCCACTGTGATTTCTGTAGCTAAGAGTAAAGAAAAATGGAAAGATGGGTGGGGTGGCTGATAATGTCATGGTGTATAATACAATCCCAGCTGAACTGTTTAAAATCTTGAACGATGATGCTGTCAAGGTGATGCATGCCATATGCCAGCAAATATGGAAAACACAAGAATGGCCATCAGACTGGGAAAAAACAATTTATATCCTCATACCAAAAAAGGGAAATGCAAAAGACTGCTCAAACTTCCCTTATTTCTCATGCCAGTAAGGTAATGCTCAAGATCCTGCAAGGAAGACTCCAGCAAGGAAGGATAGTTGAGGCAAAGATGAAGTACTTTGGCCACATCATGAGAAGAAAGGAAAGCTTAGAGAAGACAATGATGCTGGGGAAAATGGAAGGAAAGGAAGAGGGGCCGACCAAGGGCAAGATGGATGGATGGTATCCTTGAAGTGACTGGCTTGACCTTGAAGGAGCTGAGGGTGGTGACGACTGACAGAGAGCTCAGGCGTGGACTGGTCCATGAAGTCACGAAGAGTCAGAAACGACAGAACGAATGAACAACAAATAATGCAATCATCAATATGTCCTGGTGCTTGATTGCTGCTAGACTTATTCCACTAAACTACTTTCGCTGGATTGTTTTATTTACTTCTCTAATGCCATCAAAGGTAGAAAGTGTTGGATACAAAATATAATTAGTAGTTTCACTTTACCTCCTAATTTAGATGCTAGTTATTTAGCATCAGGCGTTGGGGGAATGTTCCACTGCCTTTGATGAAACCATGTGTTCTAATGTTAAAGCTTTACTTTCTATTGTTTTGTAAGACTGTGCTCATTGTGATGAAGTAGCTTTAAATCAGCAGTTGTATAATGAAGAATGTCAGCAATGAATTTTTGATGTCTTCTGTTCGGTTTGTTTCTTATAATATAAATGGGTAACTAAAGATAGGAAATGATATATGGTGTTGAAAGACATCAGAGCAATCACTGTCGTCTTTAGGAGACTAATTTAGGTAAAAATTTGCAAGTAGCCTTAAAATGTATATATTTCCCAGTACAGCTTTGTGCTGGAACCTCATTAAAAAGCAAAGGGATAGTAATATTACTTTCAAATTGTTACCCTTTAACAGTAGATGGTGCTTTAAAGGAGTCCTGTATAACTTGGTAGTAGTAACGGACCAAATTAAAATAGGCTAAACCTCTTTGGGCTTCTTTTCTGGACAACCAGGGGAGAGGGTGGGAAGCCTGAATAGCTATCAGGAACGTATCAGATATCATGGCTTTCTCTGTATGCTTTTTGGCACTAGCATCCTTTCTGACCAGATTGTAATTAAGCCTCTGTGGACTGTCTTCATTTCTAGTGAAACTTTGGGCATTCGCGTAAATGCTTGGCAGGCAGGACACTCCTTAAACACTGCCATAGTCTATACAATGTTCCCTCACCTATTGCAGGGGTTCCATTCCAGGAACCCCCTTGATAAGTGAAAAACCGTGATGTAGGGATGCTATACTGTATATGTACGGGATATGCTATAGTAGAGTCTGTTGGCAACGCTACAACTGATAGTAGGAGTGGTAGAGGAGGGAAACGAGGCGCCCAGGTGTTAGATGAGGAGCAGCAAAGGAAGAGAATTTGGGAGATACTTATGTCACCCACAGACGAAGAATCCTTTGAGGGTTTCTCAGAGAGTGAAATGAGTGAGGAGGAGGAAGGAGATGGGAATAGAGGCATTAAGAGGATTACTCGAGAGCAGGAATCAAACGAGGAGCGCCAGAGAAAGAAGATCCGGGACATACTTACTCCTCCCACTGAAGAAGAGGATTTCATGGGTTTTACTGGAAATGATGGGTCTGGGAGTAGTGGGGATGAAGAGGAACCACTGGATTGGACCAAAGTTCAGGAGATCAGGAATGTGTGTATGCAACCAACGTCCAGTGACACTTTTGAGGGATTTTCTGGTGGTGGGGATTGGCAATCCGGTGATACCATGGAATCATGGGGAGACCTAAGTCTTGATAGGATAACTTTACCCACTCCTCTCTCCCCCTCCTCTCTCTCTCTCTTCCTCTCCTCTTTCTCCCTCCCTCCCTTCCTCCTTCCCTCCCTGCTTCCCCACTGGCATGGGGCTCTCACCCGGTCGCCCAAGAAAGAGCGACAGGGAAGAAGTCCTGGCGGAAGCTGCCTCGGCGGCCCTCTCCGACCCCAGAGGAAGAAGTCTGTGAGTAACTTGGCAACTCAAGTCTGTCATATACAGTGTTCTCTCGCTATTTGTATTTTAAAATATTTTTTTAAAGCCGCGAAACAGCGAGTCTGCGGTTAGCAAACCACGAAGTGGCGAGGGAACTCTATTTGGCCTCAAGATTCAGTTTGGTATCCATTTATTTATATATGCAAAATCTGAAACCACATCATTTGAACCAAAGGAACATTTGACTAATTCATTTTCAGTATTCAATCATGGATAATGGACATAAAACAATATGTTTAGGCCTGCTGATATTGAATTGAAATATAGATTGTGCAATTTACTTGAATTTTACGTTGTTCATTTATTTTGAGTTTTGTTTCTGTTTTCCCATTTTCCCATAATTATATTCAACCTGTTCGTTTCTAAAATCCGAAATAATTTTTGTAATGTTTAGCATGGAGAAATGGAAAAAGGCCCCCACTTCAAGGAACTTCAACATCTGTATTATCATAATTCAGCCAACACTACGCACTTCTTTTAAAAGCAATAGATTTCAATTGAAAATATTTGAGCGTGCGGTTTCAGTGGCCTGAAACTAGGTTCAATTTTGCCTCAAGCAGTTAACAATTTCCTATAATTATTATACATTTTATTATTTAATTAAATATTCAAAATTGTAACATTGTACATATTTATTCTATCAGATGAGAAAAATCTAGCATTATATGGGCATGTCATGTAATCTATCAACATCATTTTACTATTTCTCATTTCATATTTCACTTACAGGCTTTAGTTGAGGATAAACAACATATATTGTTATACGCTCAACATGCATGCTTACTTAAGGTACTTAAAAGAAGCATGTGATACAAATGCGATCATTATGGTCATAAAGATCACATTTTTGATTCTATATGATTGATGTTCCTATTATTTTTCACCTTAATGCCTTAAGCGTTGTACAATGAGACAGGAAGCAGCGTCCTTATGCTGCCAGGACTAGGGAAAACTATCATAACAATAAATTAGTACATAATTAAATATTAAAATAAGAGGAAGATTCGAAGTTTAATGCCTAAGGGCAAGAGAAGAGACTTATTCAAGATGTTGTTGAAGGCATTCATAGCCGGAATCACTAGATTGGTGTGTTTTCCGGGCTGTATGGCCACGTTCCAGAAGCATTCTTTCCTGGCGTTTTGCCTGCATCTATGGCAGGCATCCTCAGAGGTTGTGAAGTCTGTTGAAACTAGGCAATTGGGATTTATGTATCTGTGGAATGTTCCTTATTTAAGAGTTTTAACACTTCCCCTAGAAACAATGAGAAGGATGCTAACAGTACCATCCTTTGTGTATCTTCCTGGCAATAAACACCATTGTGTTCAACAAGTGTATTCCCAGCTACATTGAAAGAATGTAGTCTAAAACAAGGCTTCTTAAACTTTTCCGAGACCCCTTTTGGCCTGACAAATTGTTATTTGACTCCAGGTATATCTATATATATATAAAGGTAATGTTCGTTTGTGGGATTAACATAACTCAAAAACCACTGGACGAATTGACACCAAATTTGGACACAATACACCGACCAGGCCAACGAGTGAACATCACTCATAAAACACTGAAAACACAGCAGAAGGGACTTAAAAAGCCAAAAAACAAAAATTACATTACAACGCATGCGCAAACCCATCTATATCTATCTCTATCTCTATCATCTCTATCTCTGTCTCTGTCTCTGCCTCTGCCTCTGCCTCTGCCTCTGCCTCTGCCTCTGCCTCTGCCTCTGCCTCTGCCTTCTCTACCTCTGCCTCTGTCTCTACCTCTGCCTCTGTCTCTACCTCTGTCTCTACCTCTGTCTCTGTCTCTACCTCTGTCTCTGTCTCTACCTCTACCGCTGTCTCTACCTCTACCTCTCCCTCTGTCTCTTTCTCTGTCTCTGCTCCTCTCTTCTGCCTCTCTCTGTCTCTGTCTCTGTCTCTGTCTCTGCCTCTGTCTCTGTCTCTGCCTCTGCCTCTACCTCTGCCTCTGCCTCTACCTCTGCCTCTGTCTCTACCTCTGTCTCTACCTCTGTCTCTGTCTCTACCTCTACCTCTGCCTCTACCTCTGTCTCTGTCTCTGCCTCTGCCTCTGCCTCTGCCTCTGCCTCTGCCTCTGCCTCTGCCTCTATAAAATGCTCTGGGCATAATGAGTACCTTAAAAACAAAAGAACCAATGGACGAAATCACACCAAATTTGGCAACAAAACGTCTCACAACACAAGGAATGACTATTACTCAAAAAATATATGATTTTGTCATTTGGGAGTTGTAGTTGCTGGGATTTATAGTTCACCTACAATCAAAGAGCATTCTGAACTCCATCAATGATGGAATTGAACCTAACTTGGCACACGGCATTCCCATGACCAACAGAAAATGCTGGAAGGGTTTGGTGGGCATTGACCTTGAGTTTGGGAGTTGTAGTTCACCTACATCCAGAGAGCTCTGTGGACTCAAACAATGATGGATCTGGACCAAACTTGGCACAAGCACTCAATACGCCCAAATATGAACACAGATGGAGTTTGGGGGAAATAGACCTTGACATTTGGGATTTGTAGTTACTGGGATTCACAGTTCACCTACAATCAAAGAGCATTCTAAACCCCATGAATGATAAATCGGGGCAAACTTCCCACACTGAACCCCCATGACCAACAGAAAATACTTAAGGCCATCTAATACAACTCCCTTCATCAGGGCAAGAAAACGTAATCAAAGGCCTCTTGACAAAGAGCCATCCAGCCATAGATATAGATATATAGATATAATTCATACACACACAGTATCATAGACTTCAAAGGGACCCTTAAAGAAGGACAATGATATCTTGCATGTTCCAGAGTGGGCAAACCAGACACTCTCCACATCAACACTGACAAAGAAACAGCAAGAAATACTGTTTACCTTTGCTAAGGATTATAGTTCTGTGACAGTTCCTAGAATTGTGTGGGACATTATTGCAGTTACATGTTTGTAATGCAAACATCCGCACTAGTATTCGTGCTCACTTAGAGGCATATAAAGAGGGTTGTGATGTGAAAGACAGTTTTTACTAGTGACCATTGTGTGGCCTTGCCTCTCAGAAGAATGGACTGATGACAGAAATTGATTGCCTTCCTTCTTTTCTCCAGATGCAAAGGGAAACGAGAAAGGGGATAACAAGTTGAAGCCAAATTAAATAAGGGGGTTGTGTTGAATTAGTGTCACAACATATTTTATTTATTTCCCAGAAGAGGAATCAAGGTGACATACAACAAAGCAATATCTATTGTCGAAGGCTTTCATGGCTGGAATCACTGGGTTATTGTAGGTTTTTCGAGCTATAACATGGCCATATAGCTTTAAAAATCTACAACAACCTACAAAAATCCTAGAACATGGCCATATAGCCCGAAAAACTTACAGCAACCCAAAGCAATATTGGTCTCAAACAGAATTTCAAACAATGTGAAAATATATCTTTAATTCTAGTACGGTAAAATTTCCTTACAACCCACACCCTTAAATGCACAGATAATTGGTAATATTTATTTCAGTTACCTTTTTTGCAAGACCAAGCATTGTTTTGCTTTAATATCAAGTGTAACATGGACAGGTTGATGGGCACGCAAGGGCCACAATCTAAAGACATTTACTAGCGGTAGTGGAGGAGCCCTTCCCATTTGTGTATCTCTCCAAATTGTTGTTGATACTAATTTTAAAATACTGTCTAGAGCTGCAGCAACATACAAGCTGAGCATATTTTTTATCCAGAATTCCAAAATCCTAAACTCTCCAAAATTGTCCACATGAGTGACTGAGATATTGACATTATTGAGAGTTTGGTATTTTGTATCCAAAATATTAAAAATATTGGGAATAGAATTACCTGCAGGATATGTGTATAAAGTGTAAATAAAACATAAATAATATCATGTTAGATTTTAATCTACATATATTATGAACATATATGTAATTACAGGTATTCCAAAATCTGGGGGGGGGAAATCCAAAATAAAAACTGGTCTTATGCATTTTGGATAACTCAACCTGAATATTTTTAAAAGCCAGCATGGCATAATGTTCAACTTAAATCAGGGTTGATTCCAGAATTATACTTCCCAATTTGGTTGGAGTCTTCCCATCCTTTTATATATGTAACTGACTGTATCTATATTAATAAAAATGTACTGTTCGTTTATGGGGTTAACATAACTCAAAAACCACTGGACAATTTGCCACCAAATTTTGCCCCAGATACTAATCCAAGGAGTGACCATCACTAAAAAAATTGATTTTGTCATTTGGGAGTTGTAGTTGCTTTGATTTATAGTACACCTACAATCAAAGAACATTCTGAACTCCACAAATGATGGAATTGAACCAAATGTGGTACACAGGACTCCTATGACCAACAGAAAATACTAAAAGGGCTTGGTGGGCATTGACCTTGAGTTTGGGAGTTGCAGTTCACCTACATCCAAACAGCACTCTGGACCAAACTTGGCACGAATATTCCATATGCCCAAATATGAACACAGATGGAGTTTGTGGGAAATAGTCCTTGACATTTGGGAGTTGTAGTTACTGGGATTTATAGTTCACCTACAATCAAAGAGCATGCTGAACTCCACCATCGACAAAATTGGGGCAAACTTCCCACACAAAACCCCCATACTTAAGGCCATCCAGTCCAACCCGTGGCAGGGGACCGCTAGTATGTCATATATCTTTGTATTTGTTCTCACCTATCCAATACTCCAGGCCACAATCTAGTAAAAATGTAGGTTTTAAAATCGATGTCACTCATTTTTATCATGACCAAATCGTATTTTGAGCCCTTCCCTGACTTTCACATGTTTAAATTCTTTGCTGCAGATGCTCATCCAGCCATTCCTCTTAGGCCATGGGGTTACCTCTGGTCCTCTTGAATGTTAATGTGCTTCATTGCTATACCTGTTCTAAGCTACAACAAATAACAAATTCAGTGCTATTTCATTCCTAAATTTGTATCCTTTGGAATTCTGTATATAGAGAAATAAAACTGTACTTACCATTTTTATTGCAAATCCCTCTGATTTCTCTTTTGCACGCTTCTCCTTGTGTGGGTTGGCATAAACACTACACCTCCTTCCTCTGTGTAGACTTGTGGTACCAACACTTCCTCCGGAGTGTAGAAAAGCTGATTGCATCCTTTTCCTATTGCCTTCCTCATCGTACCGCCCTCTCAAAACTCCATGCCTTGGCAATTGGTACAGTTTCTGCATGCAGTTGTGTCTTTTTTAATGTTAGAATAAACTCAGCTCAAGTGTCATATGCTCATGAAACAGAAATAGTAAGGGTTGTTCCAGATAGGCACTATATCCCAGGCTCTGATCCCAGGTTTTCTGTTTATCCCAGATTATCTGGTAGTAGGGACTCATATGATCCAGGTTAAAGCAGAAAATCTGGGATCAGAGCCTGGGATACAGGGCCTGTCTGGAAGGGCCCTAAAATGTTTGTTGATAAGCAATATGTACTTGACAGTAAAGTTGTAGCCAAATTCAATCAAAGCTAAAGTTTGGGTGAAATTACTGTATATACTTGAGTATAAGCCTAGTTTTCAGCCCTTTTTTAAGGCTGAAAAAGCTCACCTCGGCTTATACTCGAGTCAGGGTTATTTATTATTTTCTTCTTCTTCTTCTTCTTCTTATTATTATTATTATTATTACTACTACTACTATTACATTTATTGTTTTTATTATTATTACATTTATTAATTTACTCTATTATTATTAGAAGGATACATAAACACATGTACATTGAAGAAGGTTAGAATAATGTCAGTCTTATCTTACAGTTTTATAATAAACATTTAACCTACTGATGCTTCAATTAATGTAATTTTATTGGGATCTATTTTTATTTTGAAACTGACCCATAACTGCTGCATTTCCCATCCTCGGCTTATATTCGAGTCAATACGTTTCCCCAGTTTTTTGTGGTAAAATCAGGTGCCTTGGCTCATATTTGGGTCAACTTATACTCGAGTATATATGGTATATGTTGAAATACTAGTGGGCGTGAATATATATACCTGTACTTCTTTAGGTACCCCATGAATCACATTTGAGATGGAGGCGGGACCAAGAGAAGGGCCTCCATGGCAGATCTCAGAGCACGCTGGTTCATAGGGGGAGATGTGGTCATGAAGATAGGCTGGACCCGAACCGTGTATGGCTTTGTAAATAATAAACTGCATTTTGAACTGGGAACGGAAACTGATTGGCAGCCAGTGGAGCTGCTTCAATAAGGGCATGGTTTGCTCGCTTTAGTTAGCCTCACTTAGTAACCTGGCTGCTGATCTTTGAACCAATTGCAATTTCTTGAAAGGCAGCCCCATGTAGAGTGCATTGCAGTAATCCATTCTAGATGTAAGGAAGGTGTGGACCACTGTGGCCAAGTCAGGCTTTTCAAGGTACAGTTGTAGCTGACACACAAGTTTTAACTGTGCGAAGGCCCTCCCGGCCACCCCGACACCTTCAAGCGCCAGCATTGAGTCCAGGAGGACCCCCAGGCTGCGGACCTGTGTCCTCAGGGGGAGTGTGACCCCACTGAGCACAGGTTGCCACCATATACTCCAACTAGCTTCACAACTGACCAGGAGGACCTCTGTCTTGTCAGGATTAAGCTTCAACTTATTAGCCCTCATTCAGTCCATTACAGCTGTCGGACACATTACATAAACATTGTAAAAATTCTATAAATAAACATATTAAATGTATTTCTAAAAATATACATATTAAAACATATTTATAGAAAACTAGCCATCCCCTGCCATGCATTGCTGTGGCCCAGTCTGGTGATCTGGAAAACAAAGTTATGCTTGTGGGTAAACAGTATTTCTTGCTGTTTCGTTGTCAGTGTTGATGTGGAGAGTGTCTGGTTTGCCTACTCTGGAAGATGCAACATATAATTGCCCTTCTTTAGGGGTCCCTTTCAAATCTATGATACTATATCTGTGTGTGTGTGAATCATATTTATCTATCTATGTCTATGGCTGGAGGGCTCTTTGTCAGGAAGGTTTGGTTATGTTTTCTTGCCCTGATGAAGGGAATTGGACTGGATGGCCTTAAGACACCATTTCTCAACCTGGCAGTAGGGACCCCTGCGGACAGGGGAGGCTCAACCCATTACACAAAGTAAGCATTTGCAGCATAGTTCATTTTGCCCAGGGGCGCTCTTGAGGTGCTCTTGGGGGAAAATAGATCTTGACATATGCGAGTTGTAGTTACTGGGATGTATAGTTCACCTAAAATCAAAGAGCATTCTGAACTCCACCAATGATGGAATTGAACCAAATATGGCACACAGAACTCCCATGACGAACAGAAAATATATATCAGTGATTGGTTGGGGGGGGGGGGCAAAATACTGTTTGCTTACCGTTGAAAATTACCTAGGGCCGCCTCTGCCTGCGGAGGTCATAAAGGGGTGTTAGAGGGGTCGCCAAAGACCATCAGAAAACACAGTATTTTCTGTTGGTCATGGGGGTTCTGTGTGGAAAGTTTGGTTCAATTCTATCATTAGTGGCATTCAGAATGCTCTTTGATTGTAGGTGAACTATAAATCCCAGCAACTACAACTCCCAAATGTCAAGGTCTATTTTGCCCAAACTCCAACCAGTGTTCACATTTGGGCATATTGAGTATTCATGCCAAGTTTGGTCCAGATCCATCATTGTTTGAGTCCACAGTGCTCTCTGGATGTAAGTGAACTATAACTCCAAAACTCAAGGTCAATGTCCACCAAACCCCTTTACTGTTTTCTGTTGGTCTTGGAAGTCCTGGGTGCCAAGTTTGATTCAATTCCATCGTTGGTGAAGTTCAGAATGCTCTTTGATTGTAGGTGAACTACAACTCCCAAATGACAAAACTCATTTTTTTAGTGATAGTCACTCCTTGGGTTGTTAGGCATATTCTGTCCAAATTTGGTGTCAATTTGTCCAGTGGTTTTTGAGCTATGTTAATCCCACAAACGAACATTACATTTTTATTTATATAGATACATATTACAATACACAGAACAGAGATTAAAACACAGGACACGAGTTTAAAAGTAATGATTAAAACTGGCTGGGTGCTTCCTTTCTAAGGGGAAAGATTTGGGGGAGAGAGAGATCCATGCAACTTCCTAGTGAGATGACTAGAAGTTCCCCTTTCCAAAGTTAAGTTGGAATTTACTCACACTCATCAAAGCCTAAGAAAGCAGAATGTATCCAATCAGTTTTCTCTACGGAGAACAGTAATTCCTTTGCTTTCTGTGCTTTGACATTATAATAATATAATCTCAATAAAAACTACTTCCAATCTTTCCTGAATCTTTTTTCCTCCTCCGTGAATTGTTTTTCCTGAGTGGGACATTATCTTTCCATCATCAAAATTTTCCCCAATTTATATTGTCCATTTCCAGATAAAAGCCCGCATTTCAGACATCCTGTTCTTCAGAAATCTGGTAGCTGACAAAAGGAGGAAGCTGCTTTTTAGTCTGGAAGTCTAGAAGTGTCTCTAGAGTGTTTGCCAGTTTGAGTTCAGACAAGTGAACGAGTGTGTAAAACAGAACACTGTCCACAACTGTCTTTGTGGTGCAATTACAAGACATTTCACATTTCTATTCAAGGCAAAAAGACACACACACACACTTCAAAGAATTTTGGAACAGTTTTAAAGAGCCAAACAAGATGCTACAGAGGAAAGCCACACTCATATTCGTATAGCTGACATAGGAATGGAATGATGTTTTTTGTTGCCTAGCTGTCCCCTGCCATGGGTTGCTTTGGCCCAGTCTGTGTATATGTGTTTTGTGTGTATATATATGTGTATATATATGTATGTATATATTTGTGTATATGTGTGTATATATGTGTATATGTCTTAAACCTTTTCACTCAACAATCCCTTTCAGCTATAGCAGGCATGTAGCCAGGGAGGGGGTTGGGGCTTCAGCCCCCCCCCGAAATTCTCATGGTGGTTCGCGAAAAGGCCTTACTGGTGCATTATTTAAACTGTTATGTTTATTCATATCATGATCTGATCACCATACTCAATATATCCCATATGCATGGGGGTATTGGGGTAATGATACAAAAGGTTTGCTAGGCTAGACCCTCTTTCACTCAGACTCAGCCCCCCCAAACTCAGCCCCCCCAACCCCCCCTGAAAATATTCAGCCCCCCCCCCGAAACGAAATCCTGGCTACGGGCTTGAGCTATAGGTATATAAAATAAAACATTTGCTGATAAGATAAACATTGGCCAATAGTAAATCAGCATATGCAACCTTGTTAAACAGGCTAATTTTCCTTTTTATGAAGTACAGCTGAAGCATCTTCTGCAGAGTCCAATGTAAATACTACACAACAGTTCATGTAAATGTCTAAAACAGTCACAAGATAATGTTCAGAAAACTTTTACTGTTTGCAAATTTTTCTGGACCCCAACATTGAGCTAAGGCGACCTCATTTGGGGACGGGGCCCATAGTTTAAGAAGCAGTGGGGTAAAAGTCTGAGACAAAGGAAATGGTCATAATAGGGTCAAAAGCAGGTTCTACAGTTGTAAACTCATTTTGAATGAGTTCTGAATAGTCACTCTCTCCATCACATGTTCGTTACATACAACTGTTTCTAAGATAGTAATAACCATCTGTCTTAACATTCTCCTCCCAACCCATGAATTACCTCTCTTTATCATTACCCCACTTTAAAAAAATCCCCATGGCTGCACAATTATGGGACTTGGCTGTCCTGTGAGAAGTCTCCATTTTGGGTTTCTGTTGTTTTACAACTGTGCAATAACAAGGATTCACTATTGTGCACTTGCACCCTTATTGTAGTACAGGCATAAAAGAGTATTTTAGCATGCCAACCATGTTGAGAAGAGGGATATTGTGGCATAAAGAGGAGGTGCTCTTTTTTCTAGACCAGATCTGCTGAAGGAGGGACATGAGGAAACGCATGACCTCTACCTCCCTGTCAAACATACACACCAGTACAGAAAGTTGGCAAGGAGGCTTTCATGACTGGTATTGCAGAATGCATTTATAACAGAAATGTGGAGTCCTGTACTGTTATCAGCATGTGGTCTTCTGCTACACCATAAATGTACACAAAGTGCCATCTATGGCCAATTTTCAACATTTGCCCATAACTGTAATT